GCAATGGAATCATGGTTAATTTGGAACATGCTTGGTTTATACCCTATGGTAGGGCAAACCACCTTCTTGATTGGCAGTCCATGGTTCGCCAACACAACTATTCAACTTGGTGGCGGGAAAACACTTGCTATGACCACTGTTGATAGATCAGAGTCTTCCTTCTATGTCCAATCTCTCAAAGTCAATGGAAAATCATGGAATCAATCATGGCTTACCTGGAACGATGTCTTTGAGAATGGTGGGACAATGGATTTTGTTCTTGGACCTCAACCCTCGAATTGGACAACGGGACCGGCACCACCAAGTCCGGCGAGCATGGTCAGCGATACTGCCAATCCCAACAGTATACTGACACCGGTTCCCACAGCCCCTGACCCTAAGTCTCATCGTAGTATTGAAAGAGAGAGAAGAAAAATAATGCTGAGAGAGATAGCTTTTGTGACACTAGCTATAACTGTGGTAACAATTTCCTGCGCAGGAATTTGGTATTGGCGGAAAAGAAATGCTACAGTGAAAGTGGATGTTGACGATCAAGAAAAGGGGCCCAAACAGGAAGGCGTCTCTGCACGAGAAAATGAATATAGTAGCAAAAACTACAAACCAAAGTTATCGAGATGGATGAGATGGAGACCAATGGGTGCTCCAAAGGGTGATTTGAAGAGATCACTCACTACAAAGAATGGCCTCAAAAGTATCAGTGAAGATACTATGGTTGATGTGAGAGAATCAGACGGCCGAAGTCCTAGGAAGGCACCCATGGTTATAGTGAAAGGACTTCATGAGACTTCATCTGAAGAAGCTCTTGAACCTTGGACGCCTTCTGAAACAAACAGAAGGATATTCGATGAGAGGATCTAGGCTATAAACAAATAATGAAAATAAAAGCTGTAGGATATACTAGATGATTAGATATAGATTTAGAATATAGAAAGACTATAGATTTGTATAAGAGCAGATACTTCACATTTTCCGGTATAATTGAATTCACCAGAGTGATTTGCCGGGGGTTTCCCCTGGTCTGGTACATCAACCAATTGTCAACTAACAACTGTCAATTGTTGTAGTATTCACTCCTTATTTCAATATTTGTGTCGAGACGTAGTGCATTGTATACACAAAAGCAGAAATGGCATATTGATTTGAGAATTGTCTTGAACAACAGTTGTGTATGGTTAACATCATTTCTACTCAATGAATTTCCTTGATATTTGCTTGTCCAGGGCGACCAGGCGACTAGGCACTCGGATCACCACAATAAGCTCGGACCACAATAGAGCTTCCAGTTTCCAAAAGTTTAACTTCCCCGAGGCTCTCAATAATTTATTCCCAAAATCAAACTGTTTGTGCAGACAGTCATGAATTTATGATTGCAAATCGACAAATTTCCTGAAAACGAATTGATACGAAGAATTAGGAATACCCCTTTCAATAGCATACTGCAACAAAAAGAATACCATTTTCAAGATGTTGTTTCCAGAAGAAGATACGGGAGAATTGAAGAAATGGATCATAAAGAGACTTGAGAATACGTATGTTCAGCTTCAATTTCCGTCATCCTATAGATATGATATTAATTTTCTTTATAGATCAGATGCAGATGCAGATGTTCTTGCCGATTATGTTCTTGCTTTATTGCGACATGATGGAGATGTCAATACTGTTCGACAACTTTGCATGGCTGAAATTCCCGATTTCTTGAAAGAGGATACTTCAATTTTCGTACGAGATGTCTTCGATGCCCTCCAATATAAGACTTACTTGAGTGGTGGACCTCCTCGTCGCGATTCGCAACAATTCGCGCCACCTACCGGACCATCAGCTCCAGCTTTCAATAACCCAAATATGGGACCTTCGATGGGCCATCAAAACGGTTCCCGAAAGCGCGCATTTGACGGACGGGGCGATGGAGATTCTCAAATGTATATGGGAGGTGGAGACCAGAATTCACGCGCATTTAAACAACCTCGAAGAGGTGGCGCGGCAGGACGTGGAGCTTTCGACAATTTCAATAATGGCAGAGGAGGATTTCAAGGTCATCCACAACATATGCAAATGCCTAATGCGCAATTCATGCCTAACATGCCTAATATGCCAGGTTCTCCAACGGGCTTACCTCCTCTCGATCCAAACAATCCAATGGCAGCTCTTCTTGCTATGCAGCAAGCTATGGGTGCGATGGGTATGCCTCTTCCACAGGGTATGCCAGGATTTCCTCCCAACGGAGCCAATCAAAATAGAGGGCATCCAGGTCCAACGGGCCAGAGGAAGCAAAGATGTCGGGATTACGACCAAAAGGGATTTTGCGCGCGAGGAAATACTTGTATGTTCGAGCATGGTCAAGATTCGATATATGTTCCTGGAGGTGCTGGCAAACCTACAGACGAGTACGATCCAAGTAATGCGTCGCTTATGACCGAAAATCAGAACCAGAATGACAACAGCCAACGACCGGCACCATACAGCGGCTTTGAAAACAACCGTGGTGGTATGGGACGTGGCAGAGGGCAGTCTATGGGCAGAGGTGGATCGCAAATGCACTCTAACAGAGGCGCGAGACGATCAGAGTTCTCATCAGATCGAGCAAACTATAACAAGAACAATACTACAATCGTAGTGGAGCAAATTCCAGAAGACAAGTTCTCAGAGGAAACCGTTCGAGAATTTTTCACTCAATTCGGTAACATAAAGGAGGTAGATATGAAACCATATAAACGATTGGCTCTGATCACATTTGATGACTGGAACGGGGCGAATGCAGCATACAGTTCACCTAAGGTTATTTTTGACAACAGATTTGTAAAGGTCTATTGGTTCACAAATAATGAAGCGCTTCCAAAACCTCCTGCGAACGGATCATTTAGTGGCACAAATCACAACGGTGCATCAGGCCCAGTCCCTGCAAGAGAGTCGGATGAACCTCAGATTGATATCGAAGAATTCGCCAAAAAGCAGCAAGAAGTACAGAAAGCCCACGAGGAAAAAATGAAGAAGAAACAGGAAATGGAAGCCACTCGCAAGGAGCTGGAAAGACGTCAAGAAGAGCTTCTGAAAAATCAAGCCGAGGAAAAGAGAAAGTTGATGGAAAGACTTGCAGCCAAGTCTGGTAAATCTGTATCTCCAGGTGTCAATGCAGAAGGTGGTTCTCCCGCGCCCGCACCTTCATCTCAAACAGAAGCCTTGAAGAAACAACTTGCAGCTTTAGAGGCGGAAGCTCAATCTTTAGGTTTACCAAGTCTGGATAGCCCTCTTTCTGATGATACATGGGGTGGGCGAGGTCGCGGACGTGGTGGCTATAGAGGAAGAGGTACTTTTGCTCCACGTGGTTTTCGAGGTGGATTCAGGGGACGTGGCGGGGCTGCTTTTGGTGGTGCTCCGGCCCGCTATAATCTTGACAATCGAACGAAGAAGATTGCCGTTAGTGGTGCCGACTTTACAAATCCTCAGACGGACGAGAGCTTGAGAGAGCATCTTTTGGTATGATCCCTTTTTTCCCCCTTCAAAATTTTCATCTATGTGTACTAATACATTCATAGGGTATTGGTGAATATACCGAACTCACAAATACGCCAAGCGGTTGTCAGATAACTTTCAAAGATCGTCACACGGCTGAGAAATTCATGTATGGTCTTCAGAATGGCGAAATTCCATCGGTAGGAAAGGTTGAACTATCATGGATTCAAACGCCTCTGCCACCGGTTACATTGCCAAACATCCAGAATTCGACCACTGGTGGTAATACAGAATCAGATTCCAAGATGGAAGGTGGTATGGAAGGTGATGCCATGGCACAAGATTCTAATTCAATGGGTATGAGTGGACATGGTGGGGAGAGAGACATGCAAGAAAACATCGATTATGATGTTGCGGGTGATGACGATTGGCAGTAGATTGATGGATAAGTCGAGGAGGCTGAAAATGAGAAAAGGGTTAGGCGAATGAAGAAGCATATTCGATGAACTTAGGTTTGAATGATTGTATACCGAAGAGCGTACATCTTTCTTGTACGAATTTGGCATTTTTGTAATAATAACTCGTGAGCGAGAGACGGGGAGACCGAGCAAAAGATACCTAGGCGGGCAGGAAATGCACATATGAAATGCCTTTATCATGAAAAAAGATAGCCGACTTAAGTCGTATGAAATCAAGCACACAGAAGAATCTTGTTGAGGACCGGAACTATGCATACATGATCAGAGATACCATGAATATGAATATTACAGGAGCAAGCTATAATAAAATCTTACTCAAGAGATTTGAACAGTAAGGTATAGAGTGCACTTTAACTGTAATTCAAATATGAGGAAATTTCTCATTCGATTTTCTTCAGTGATGCATATATTGTAAACCGTTGATGCATGGGAATACGTATGGATATATGGTATGATCGTACTTACATCTACTAGTATTGATAGATATATTCTATCTGTACAATTTTAAAGGTATCACTTACTTTATGTAAATTACGAAAAATTAAAGAAACATATTAAATTCAAATTATGGTAATCAGATTAATCGTGAATCATGATGCATAGATATATAATGTCGCTTATGTTTACTCCTTTACTTATCTTCATAATGTGTACACCCGCCATGCCAAGTCACGAATAACCCAGAAACTGAGGTACTTAGTTTCGAGTCAGCCTTTATAAAGTATACATGTATTCAAGCTTTTGATTCGCCATTGCGGGTTATCAAAATCCACTCGTCGCTTTTTTGGGGTCTAAGTGTAAGTGCAAGTGCTTGACACGATTTTTTTAGCTCCTCAACCAAGTGGAGACGATCGATGGATGAGCGTTTGGACTCGGAGGTTGGAATTTCCTGAAGAATTGACATGTCCACAGAGGACAGGGATATCTTTACCAATTATCAAAACGTCGATTATATGTGAGATATTTAATAGTTTTTGCTTGGTAGATGAATAGATAAATGTACATCTCATCCTATCTCTAAACCTCATCTCCACTTTTCACCCCCCATATCAAATCAGCGAATTCCCCAAAATGAGACGAACGACCCGCAAAGCCCTCGTGCATCTCACGCTTTTCAGCAGCGCCCTCTTCCTCATCATCTACCTCAATCGCTCATCGAGCAACACCTCTTTTCCCTGGACCCGCATCCGGTACACGCACGATGCGGCGACCCGAAAAATCCCCATCCCGTCTCCCCACGGTATTTGTCCGGGGCTCTCCAGCACCCGCAAACCCGCCCTCATCGTGTCCCACGTGGCCGCTGACGGCGACCCCAGCTGGCTGGATACGCTCAGCCACAAATATCACATCTGCATCTACAATGTGGATTCCTCAGCGCTCCTGAAAACTTCTCAGAAAGTGCTGCAGGTGCCCGCGAATCGCGCGCACGAAGCTATGCCCTATCTCACCTTCCTCATCGACAATTACGAAAACATTCCTGCGGCGGGCGCCGTCTTCGTCCATGGAAATCGCTTCCAGTGGCATAATGATCACCCCACGTATGATAATCTGGATCTACTATCTGCACTTGATCTTGAGAGTGCGTTGGCGGAAAACGGATATCATAATCTCAAGTGTGATTGGAGTCTCAGCACGTGTGGAGATAAAGCGGTAGCCCAAGGAAGCTTGGAGACGAGTATGCAAGCGTCGCTGCAGCCGTGGGATAAGAGAGCGGTTTCTGATGCGGCGATGCCGAAGGCGTTGAGAGTGTTGTTTGGAGAGGGGAAACAGTTGAGTAGAACGGATATTGTGAGGAGTCAATGTTGTGCACAGTTTGTCGTTTCGAGGAAAAGTATTTGGAAACATGAGAGAGAGGAATATGTAGCACTGAGACAGTGGTTGTTGAATCCTAATGGTGCACCTAAAGATGACAAGGTGGCGGGCAGGATATTGAGTTATTTATGGCACGTGTTGTTTTTGGAACAGGAAAATAGTGAGGAGGGAATGGTGGATTTGGAAAGACTCAATAGACAAGCATGTCCAAGTGCACGAAAGTGTTATTGTCGACTCTACGGGAAGTGCGATTTAGATTGTAGGACAATGGGGACTTGTCGAGGACAGTATATATTGCCGAAAAATCTCAGGCTTCCGGAGGATTATGGAAGACAGTTTGAGCATTTGGATGACCACTCGGATAGTCTTTGAAGCACGAGAGTCGAAGTTTTTGCATTATAGATGGAGTTGGAGATTGGAAATTTGTGTTTTGATAGAATACTAATCATTGAGAATACCTAGGAATGGTACATTCATTATGCAAAATAAAATATTGTAAGATTGCATCTCAAAAACATTATATATAATCCTAGTACATTGGAACCAGAGAACTGGAGACCAAAATCAAGTCTCCTCTATGAGAATATTTTTGTTTCAATAGCCGAGACTGTATCTTGTATGTAAGGGCTGCTGCACTTAATATTTTATGTCGGAATTGGATTACGATTGTCGATATCCACTTGCCAAAATGTTAATTTAAGTGTCACAATAATACCACCAAAGATAAATAAACAAAAGCAGATAGAATCAAAAATCTAGGATCAAGAAAAAGAACATTATTCCCTTCGCAATATCCACATGAAGTTATTGTACACCAGTGATTTTCCGATCATCCATAGATCGATTCATCAGCCCATCCATAAAATCGCCTTCCATGTATCATATCACGTAGCAAAATCATTTACCGCGCAATTACTCTTCATCAAAAACCTCCTCAACTCTTGGCGCTAAATTTCGTTGTGTAGTTTCTCCAGTAGAAATTTGTGCTGTTGATCCTGTCGTGGTGGCCGAGGCTGGAGCTGGTTGACCTGTCATTGCTGCTCCAATAGCGCTTGCACTAGCGGAGGCACTCGACTTAGACTTCTTCTTGCCTTTCTTCTTCTCCTATTGATCATATTAGCTTTTCCTGCTCCTTATCAAGATATTTCATGAGGAGAACATACCTCTTGCCATCCCCAAACAGGTCTGAAACTGTCGAAGAATCCAACGTCCTCAAACAGATTTGGGTATAACCATAATCCAGGAGGTACTGCAAACATTGTAATACCAAACAGAATTAATCTGAAAATTGCCATCGCAAAGAATAATCCTAATAATCCAAGCATACCCATACTTAAATACCAAACACCCAATCTCATCTTCATTGGCCAAAGTGGGAACATGACAATTGCAAATACAATCGCTAATGCTCCAGCAGCGTATAATTTCTGTTTAATTTGTGCACCTTCATAAAGCCATACGAAATGGAGCTCTTCCTTGCATTCTTGCTGTTGTTCGATTTTGACAGTCCAAAGCCCCTTCACCCGCTTTGTGTTGTGAGCACCAGGGGCATGATCATGACCTTCATGAGGATCTACTTTAGAAACACGAAGTGCAAGGAGAGAAAGTGGGAGAAGTTTGAAGCAGTTTTCGAGTGAGGCGCGATCAGTAATTTCGGGGAGAAGTGGGTTCTTCTTACGAGCTTTTTCATAAGCGGGCGATTGAATGGCTCGGAGAGCACGTTTCACTGTAATTGTATGTTAGAAAAAGTTGTAGTATGGTAGTGAAATATTTTACCTTTGAACATGTCCTTTCTCTGACCATTCAAGATACACGTTCTCGCTTTTAAGTCCTGACCCATCAAAAAGTTTGCAAGAGCAATAGCTGCTGGATTTGGAGGGCCTGGTTGAATTGGTTGAGGTTGCTGTTGCTGCTGTTGAGCCATGGCAGCTTCTCTTTGTTTCTGCTGTTGGGCCATTGCATCCGCCTTTATCTTTTCCACAAATTCGGGTACAGTCATACCAGCTTTTGCGGCATCTTGAGCCAATTTCTCCTTCATCGCCTGGACTTGTTCCGGAGATGGTGGTGGGCCCTGTTGTAGAGCTTGTTGCTGAGCTTGTTGCGCCTTAATCTTCGCTACAAATTCAGGTACAGACATTCCAGCCTTTTCAGCATCCTGAGCTAGTTGCTTTTGCATAGCCTGGATTTGTTCTGGGGATGGCTGTTGGCCTTGTTGTAGAGCTTGTTGCTGGGCTTGTTGCGCCTTAATCTTCGCTACAAATTCAGGTACAGACATTCCAGCCTTTTCAGCATCCTGAGCTAGTTGCTTTTGCATAGCCTGGATTTGTTCTGGGGATGGCTGCTGGCCTTGTTGGGCTTGTAGTCGGGCTTGGTTTTGCGCATTCATCTTTGCTATGAATTCAGGTATCGATAACCCTTGTTGTTGTGCTTGTTGAGCGATTTGCTGTTGCATCATCTGGATTTGTTCCGGACTTGGTTGTGAACCATCTGGTAATCTGAATTGAATTTGACCTAGTCCTGGTGGTGGTCCTTGTTGGGGATCTGCTTTTGGAGAATCCATGTTGGAAACTGTGAAAGCGGATACAATATGTAGTGGATGTAAGGGGAATGTCTATGGCAAAATGTGGTTGAGGTGAGTGAATGAGTGAATGCGTGAGACAGTGAATAAAGATTGATTAAAGTTATCTGTCCAAATCTTTATTTAGTGCGGGTATAAATCGGGTTATACAGCCACACAATGTGGCGGACGTTAACAGGCAGATGAGGTAAGCTGCAATTCGTGAGGATGCTGGCATGAACGGTGCACAGAGCTTTGGTGCACGGTTTGTCCAAGGCAGCAAGGATAATACGATTTCCGAGCTTAGACAAGGAATTTGAGCATCAGCGGCATTAGTGTCCTCAGGCATCCTGGCTACATAATCACCGAATCGAGCTCATCTCTCAAACCTCCTTCATCATCGAATCGGCTATCCGAAAAGGGCTAAAATGACAAAATGAAAAATGAACTTCACATTTTTAGGTTCTATAACCTTTATCTAAACCCATTCAATCATCTATAATACTCTCCTTCTTTCATTCTTCTCTTGAGTTCATAAAATACCTTTTGGTGACCGTTCACAAGCTATGACGCATTCAATCATTCGGATGCTTCGGATGGGAAAGAAAACAGAGGGGCAAAATTCGCAATTATTGAGTAGAAGGCAGACATTGATACTCACTCTGTAAAATGAGTGAAAGTTATAACCCAGATAATGCTGCTTTACCGGAGTCTCCTTACGATATAGCATTTCTGGTGTGTTATGCTCTTCTGATCGGATCAACATGGACACTCTTGCTAAATTATTTCTTAGTCACAAAGAGATTTAGGATTGAACATACCAATCAATTATGCTACGGCTCCTGGCATTTCTTTGACGGCCGCATGTTTCTCATCTCTCAGATATGAGGATAATGATGCGGCTACTTGCATTTCCAATTTATTAGCCAATGGATTCCGGAGATTGGAAGTAGATTTATATTGGGATGAAGCAAGGCAGTTATGGACTTTTTGTCCTGTTGCTGTACCAGTTTCGAGCACAGATGTTACCTCTACACCAACTCCAACATCGACGCTTTCATCCACCATAGCCAGTTTGACTTTAGCGCAACAAACTACAGATTTGATTCCTAGGCAGAATGCAGCCACGAGTTCCATCATTCCTTCACCGAGTATGACAGATGTAGATGGTACATTTAGTTCAAGACCTACTTCCCATAGTGTGTCTGCAGTGGACGTAATAGCAAGCTCTCTCGAACCAACACTACCTTTAGCCTCTGCAATCCCAAACACTTCGAACAAATCGCTGTATAATATCGGAACTTACACTTGTACTAACACTATCAGTTTACATATGCTAACAAGTCTTCTCCTGGATTACATACAAGAAACACAAAATACGCTTGATGCATATATGTTGATACTGACTCTCAATATCCACGCAGTAGAGACTAGTTCCAGCATTGATGACCCTGCTCCTCAGCCATCCGACCTTCCAGATCCGTTAGAATCTCTAAGGTTCCTTTTCGCGGCAAATTTATCAGCATACATATATACGCCAGATGATCTAAGGTCCAATCGAGCAAATTTAAATACATCTTGGTACCAAGTTACAGAAAGATATCGGCCTGCTTTAGATTATTATACTACTGTCACGGAAGAATTTGGTATCATATCGACTGAAGATGGTTGGCCGTCAGAATCTTACATTGAGTTTTCTCAAGGCAAACGAATGCTTTTACAATTTGGCTCTGTAGATCCTCAAATGGGGAATTATAATTTCAGTGGAGATGCAGGGACTATCTTCCCCCCGAACTATCTCAGCAACCGCCGCGACAATAACACATTAGTCAGTGCTGATGGCGTAGTGGAAACCGGTTGCTTCCTTGTTAATGTCACCGAAGACATTTCTCAAGTAAACTCATCCTGGGCAACAGCGGCAAACATACCCGGATTCGAGTATCCCACAAACTCGAGTTCCAACCTGACTTCTCTCCTCAACCTAACATCCTCTCTCACACAGTGTGGTATATCCCCAACCCTAAACATAACCCTTCTCAACACCACCGCCGACACCAACAACCTCCCCTACCAAAACTACACCTACTCCACTATCTGGTCCTGGGCCCCATACGAACCCCGCTCCTCCAACGACAGCGATAGCAATGACCCCCTCTTTCGCTGCGCCACTTTTCACTCGTCCACCGCCCACTGGCACGTATCCGACTGCTCCAGTAAACTCTACGCCGCCTGTCGCGCCCCTTCACAACCCTACAACTGGACCCTCACCACCTACCCCATCTCCTACTCCTACGCCGCGCAAGCCTGTCCCTCCCCCTACCTCTTCTCCGCGCCCCGCACCGCCCTCGAAAACGCATACCTGTCCCAAGCAGTCACAAACCTCTCTCCCGCCCGCGACTTCGACACCGACGATCCGAAAGTCTGGCTTGATTTTAATTCTCTCGATACGAAAAATTGCTGGACCACTGGCGGTCCGAATACCACGTGTCCGTATAGCAATCAAGAGGCAGACGATAATATAAGAGAGAGAGTCGTGATTGTACCATTGGTGGCGACGATCATCGTCCTGCTCATCTTTTTCCTCGTGCTGTGTGTGAATTGTGGGAAGGGATTTTTGGGGAGGAAGAGCGAGGGGAAGAGGAGACGGAGGGTGAGAGAGGGTGCGGTGTATGAGGGGGTGCCGGCTTGAGGGTCGTGCTTGTGGTCGGGGTTAGGGAGCTGTGTATTTTTATTTATGTTTTCTTGTATTGCTTGTGTATCTATGTACACCTATAAACAGGTACCTACTCATTTTGTAAAAGTTGTAATTGTAATTATAAACCGCATAGGATATCAAGAGTTGGATAATAATTTCTTGTAACAGTTCATACCACAACTATTAGTAGATAATTAAACCCTTTGAATATTCTTTTAATCCTCTATGAATGTCAAAATTACAACACAGATGGAAGGATTTATACACATACTACCTATTGCAACACACCATCATATCATCATCACACACAAACTCAAATTCCACACTAACAGCAAACCGGGTGAAAATATCCATTTCATCACCCTAACCCCCATCCAAAAAAAAGAACAATAAATCTCAGAACAAATTTATATGTCAATCAATCAATTTAGAGACATTTAGTTAGATTTAGATATGCCCTACAGTACGCCAACCTTGCCGCCATTCCCATTTCCCCTTGATCCCGACGCCATGCTTGTATTCCCAAACTGTGTTACCTCCAAATTTACTGTTCCTGCAGCTAGCTAATTGTAATGGTTCCCATGGACTTTCCGTACGATATGACATCTAGTATGTATCCGATGCCGAATGCAACTCCTACGCTTGCTATAGACCGCATGCTTGTAAGTGGGTAGACGATGTAGCTTCTCAATACGTGTGGGTAAAGTATGAGCTGATACAAATGATTAATGGTGTACTTCATCTTCGCTTGCTAAGCTTCCGATTTCCGACCAGCTATCGGGTGTGACGATACCGTCATCTACACTCATGACATCGGCGTCACTGGTAGCGCCGCTTCTTGGGTGCCAGACTTCTTCGCCTGAACCAGCCAATGATACGGAATCTGTGGGAGTAATCATTCCATCTCCATCAAGGGATTCGAGGGAGGAATAATCGGGATCGGAGATGGTAGGCGATGGGGGAGTAACTTGAGCGCTCTGGGTGGCGGTTGGAGTTGAAGGGCGTTCGTGGGGTGTAACAGGCAGAGGAGAATAAAAACCGGTTGCGTTATCGGTATGATCGGCCCAGGCGTGAATGGATGCAAATGGATTTTCATTGTCTTGTGCTCTTGCTGTGTAAGTTGGCTCGGTTTCCAAGTTTTCAAGGGTAGGTACAGAGACTGGTGGATCTGGGTTGAATGGTTCAGAAAGATCAACAAGGGTTTCGGCGTCTTCGTGGGCAATAGGTTCTGCTGGTGAGAGAGTGGAAGTACTTTGTCGAGAGCGGGATCGAGTTCGGCCTTCGTGGCAACTGTATAATCCTTCAGAGTCCGATTCGTATTGTTCACCGTCTCCGGGAGACATTAAACTTCTATCCATGGCTTGTTGTTCCTCGCTGTCAATACCGTGCTCATCTGCAAATGGGTTGGCGTAGATTGTTGATCGATTCAAACCTCGTACACCGCGTCGATGGGTGAGACCCTCTTCAGCTTGACCGTTCAAATCTGTACCAGTATTGTAAACGAAAGTGCCCTTCTCAGCATTGGGATCCTCTTGTAAGAAATCCTCAAAACTCGGCTTTCGGCTCGGGTTTCCCGCTGGTCTCTTCTCATCCATCCTTTGCTCCTTTTCCATTCTTTCCATGCGTACTGCATTCCAATACATCAATTCCTCTCTCTGTTTTCTCCTGCTATCCTCATCGGCATCTACGCCTACTTCCGAAGCACTCTGCATAAAACCCTCTGCATCCTCAGGGCGGTTGAAACGGGGCTGTCGACTATTCGGATTGATTTCATCGCCGAGGGAATGTAATGCGACTGCGATTCTACGCCGAACATCTTCAGCGAATTGTCGGGCTTGTGGTGATTCATAGACTGCTATCGCCGCCTATTATTTCCATTAGTTCTTGAATTTCTTCGTTGTGCATTGCATGGATTCTGTAAAAAGAGGGGAAACTTACGCCTACAGCCACAGCAGCTATGATTACCGCACCTGAAACCAAAACCGGATGATTAGGCATGTTCCCTCAATAAACTTTGTGAAATAAGGGAAATGTATTGATGGAGAGATTGAAGGGAATCTCTCATGGAGAAGGGAAGGATGAGAAAAGCAATAGGAATTTGGGGTATTGAAATGATAAATGGTTGCCTCTTATGAGGTTGCGTACACAAAAAACACCGCCACTACTTGCAGGGTTATCGGGTGATCTTCACCTATCACAGGATAAGAATTGGGGTGCTGTAACTTGTATGTGTATGAATGAATATCACGGACTTAAATTGTGGCAATATGCCGTGGTGCCGTACATTCATTGATTAATTAATTACTTACCTGGAGATAACATGAAAGGCATTTTTGGTAATTATTTTTGGGTCATCAAAAAGCTTGAAAATCGAATCGCATGAAAACCTAGGGACAAAAAGAGAGAGAGACAATAGGTACAATATTAAGAGATGGATGGGACGTTTATAGTTCTATATAAAGAGTCCTTTAGAGCAGAGCCAGACTAAAACGGAGCACGGAATGAATGATGTTGGTTTGATAAAAGAGGCGTCTAAGAGTATGAGGGGGAGTAGAGTAGGTAAACTCCACACTACTGTAAATAGTTTGAATTCTACTGTGCCGCTTGATAACCGCTGAAAGTAATACCCATGAGGAAGCTGGAAGCCCTGTCTTTTATGGTAGTATTGTCATTTTCACGGAATATTGAATTTCCCAATTAGACCGGTTTACGACGGAAGAGAATGCGTAATACCTGTCTAGGAGGTTTCAAGGGAAGAGGAAACAAAGCATTCCTTGCTTACGCCAACCATTAACCATTTTTGGTTTCATGCTGTTTGCGTGTTCTGGGGAGATTCGTCTATCGATTTCATCTATCTCGCATTGCATATGTAATAAGTACAATTGAGTTGGTGCACTACGTATGTACGGTACAGTAAAATGACTGTTTTTCATGGGCCAGAGATACTAACCTCCACTTTGGCACAATCTTGGAAAGTCTATCGATAAGCTAAAAGTCCCAAAACAAGGCCAAGTGTGGGGGGGAAGAATGAATCATGATTTCATGCCTCTTCTGAGCCTGGTTATTTACTTGTATTTATGTCCGATCGGTAGTTGGATTCTTTTACCTTCCCCCCTAACGAATTAGCGACACGCTACGTGAAAAAATACATATGATAAGTCTACCTAGGTATTCCTAACAAATATCATATCATCTTCGGTTTTGAAAACATCAATCACGAGATCTCAAATCTAGGAATTTATCTGTCTAGAATGACGTTTAGAAAAGTATACTGTAGCTTAGTCAAGTATGATCTAGAAGTAGATCCAATAAGTACAATTTAGAGTCTTTGCCTAAGTTCCTAGGAACGACAAGTACTATTAGCGCGGAACTCCTGCACCCAATATAAAAACGTCTTCGGCTTCCTCTTAAAATCCTCATAGGACCCCCCTAAGAGAAACCTCGGAAATTCTCAGTATCGAACATAATTCGAAAGCATGGCTGCAAGACACACCCCGGTGCCATCGGTCGGATCTTCAGGTTCAACCTTCTCGTCCACCGTATCGAGAGAGAAGAATCTTTCAGATGTTTATGTCGACTTTCACAAAGAATACCAGCAATTGTTAATCCGAAATAAACAACTAAGCGATAATAATCGCAATTCCGAAAGCAATAAAACGTATGTTCCCATTGCTGTGGAGAAGTGCCACATCGCGCTGATATCAAATAGCAATCATGATAGAGTTCCTGGAGCCACGCCCGTACCATCCTCCTCGGCCCGTGATAAATTGCAAGAAGTAGTGGCATCATTGCTTCCCGCTATCGGTGAGCCATTTTTTCAACAATTTTCAGTCCTCAGAAATGAAATAGAAGGGAAAATAAGACTATGGGATGCTTTGGTCGCGGAAAATATAAAGCTTTCCAGTGCGGCAAGAATCAAGCAGGCTATGGAGGATGCAAAATCTGCTTCTGATAAGTCTTTCGCAGAAAAGAAAATTGCAAATGACAAGCACGACGATGAGTTGGACCTGGAAAACCCGTCCGACAAGCGTACCTTGAACATTTGGATAGAACTTGAAGATTTTAAGATTCCAGAAACCCGGAGCTCAGACAAGGATTCCATTTAGCGAATGTCTTCGGCCATAGATTTGGATTCGGGCATACTAGTAGTTCTTGTCTCCTATCCACATCCATTGAGATCGGAGTCTCTAGGCAAACAATAAATTCACAGTAGAGATGAAGCAAATAGGAAAGGTATGGTGGATTAGAGGTTGAGATGGATGATGTAGACATAGGTGGAGGTAGTAAAAATACATAATGTATAATGTATAATAATAATATAAATTGAATCATTCTATGATATCCTACGCTTTTATAACAGTTCATGTTAGCCAATGATTGAAACTTATGAAGAATCGCAATATTGATTGAATAATAATACCTTTCAGATTGTACAAGCTCATATTGAACAACTTGAGATAAATATTGATGTGAAATATCCAAATGTATCAGGTGAAGTGACGAAGATGGACTGTTTTTAAGATTCGTAATATGATATATGTGTCTCTGAAATTCACGCAGATTTCTCGGTGCTTGTGGGGTTATCTTTCGTTTCCTCTGTTGCTGTGACAAGCGTCATCTTATCCCCTTCGGAATTGTGCTTTTTAGGTGTTATAGCATCTACCTTTTCCACAATCACACACTCTTCTTCTTCAGCTTTCCTCTCTTCTGCTTCCAGGTACTTCGAATAATCTTTCCAGAGCTGTTCTACCGGCCTTCCACAAAGTTCGGTCCAAAATCTCTTCTCTTCGTATCGCTCAACTCTCAGCTTTTCATTCACCCTCCTTACGGTGCCTTTACCGAATCTCTGTTCCAGATATTCAAGAAAGTAGCCGGTGTGTTGGTAACCTGCATCCCATTTCCCGGTAGCCTCTCTTTTCCAATGAGGTGGACTCAAATTGGCGTTCAATCGAACCCAATCTGCAATTCCTTCAACCAAGCCGCCAGGGCAAGTATTGAATCCATTGTATTGGTAGCAATGTACCATTTCATGAGTCAACACACCCATGATCTCATGCTTCTTTCGATCTGGTTTAATTGATTCGTGCTGTATGTAATCTAGGGATAAATGTATCTCCTTGTGGTCATTGTCAAGGTCGCTACCCGTTGTATATGCCACACCTTCCATGGAACGGAGGATGAGGGTCACCGATCGAGTTGGTGTCGGAGTTGTGGTGGGACAATTGGGAGACTCATATAATAGCGTGAGAACGCTCTGAACTGCTGTCTGTAGAGCCTCGTTCGCTACAACGGCGGTCAAGAAAGTATGTGACCCTGCATGATTGAGATCTCGTAACTCGAGGCGTAACTTAGGTAGAGGAAACTTGATGGATGGTTTGGAATTATCATCTTTGTCAAGCGTTGACGGCGGCTTTTCTTTCGAAGGAGGCATCGGTATGGGAGTTGGAGCCGGTGAGGTACTGGAGAATTGAGGCATGAATACAGGTGGAGGAACCGGGCTGGTTGCGGGGGAAGTGGGCATTATGCGGGTGATCTGTAGGGTTCAAAGGTTCAAAGGATAAGGTTTAGGACAAGGTCACTCCTTGCAAGGGTCCTGTTGCATTGATCTTCTCATGCGGAATTGCAATAAGGAAGGTTGAGAGTAATGAGTGCCGTGCCTACCTAGTCTCCTAGCTTGACCTTGTTGATGTAGCAGAGGGTTGAGCTTCTTTCAAGTTGAGGACTCAGATGCGGCAACGAGACAGGCTGTCGATGTTTGTTGATATATTGCCGAATGAGAATGAGAATGAAGGGGCTTTCTTTATTTCTTGAATGGGCATCAATATTGCAATGAGATGATAGGTTCCAAGGTTGTCAACAATAGTCTTTACATGTCCAATAAGAGGTATAGAAATGTTCATGTCTCTTACCAATCTGACTGGCTTATCTCTTCTGACTGGGGTCTGATCGTATTTATAATAATGGAAGCTCTGAGACCAGTCCGTGCTTCCCCTGCCCGGGCAACCATAATTTGTTTTGACGCGACAGATTTATCTCCAAAGGGGATTTGGAAAGTTACATAGCAAAGTACAACATCATCGTAAGTGTCTCCAAATTTCTTAATTTCTTAATGTCAATATTGTGCTACATTATCATCTCCTCAATAACCGAATACCATACGGTGCATAACCTCCTTTATTCTCCAAATCACTGACAGCACATCTCATCTACAGATAGGCACATATCCTGATTTGATATTTACGGTTTCTTCAAGTTCACCCCACCTCAATCATGGGTGAAAAGATCACCGAAGATCAAGTAGCAAACTTGCTGGCAATACTTCGAACAGATGCTTTGATAGATTCGAAGGTCAATCAGATCAACAACATCAAATCCAGTATCAAACAACATAACGTTCCAGAACCATGCATACTTTCACTATTTGAAGCCTTGCGCATAGCAATGTCGTCGCAGCATGCCGCACTAGTCAACGCTGGGTTCTCTACCCTCAATCATCTCCTCACCAGATTGTCACGCCAGGAACCAAAATACATTGTCAAGGAAGCTGCCCGAACTCTGCCAATGATAAATGATAAGATGGGCGATCAGAGGGAGAAATATCGACAACTTGCTGCGCAATGTCTTACAACGTTCTGGAAAAATGCGCCGATGGATGTGGAAAGGATTGTGAAGAACGCAGGACTGATAGGAAAGAACTCGAGGATGAAAGAAAATTCAATGAATTGGATTGTACAGGTAAACAGATACATTTTGGCGCGGAGTTGTGTACACTTTCTAACCACTGTATCAAATAGATGCACCAAGAGCATGGAATGGCATTCAAAAGTTTTGTAACTACATTAATGGAGCTACTCGAAGACGCCGATGGCATGGTAAGAGATACTGCGAGAAACACTGTCATCACCTTGTTCCAGTAAGTCTCTTTCTGTCGGCCATGTTACTTTCATATTCTAATTGCCACAGGAATGCCCCCAACGGAGCCAAATCCGATCTCAAGAAGCAGTTGAAGAACTTCAATGTTCGACCCGCAATCGTATCGGCTATCACGAGTCAACTTATACAAGGAGGAGCCCCAGTAGTTGTGGAACCGGAAAGAACTGAAGTCCCTATGCGAAATCCTTTAGCTAGTAGTGCATCTGCGATGACCGTCTCAAGACCAGCAACACCAGAAGTCAGAATTGAGCAAGTAGACCCTGCATATGTGAATACACAAAGGGAATTGGAGGAAACTTTTCAAGAAATGCATCAATGGTTCCAAGACAAGGAGTCTGAAGCAAATTGGTTCAAGAGAGAGCAAAGTTGTACAAAGTTACGAAGACTGAATGCTGGAAACGCCCCAAGCGACTATCATGATGCTTTCCTTGCTGGTATCAAAAGTCTTTTGGATGGTATCTTGAAAGCGGTTAATTCATTGAGAACCAGTCTTTCAAAAGAAGGGTGTAGTGTCGTTCAAGAAATTGCTCGAACTGCTGGGCCTGGACTGGATCCTATGGTCGAAATTCTTCTACAAAACCTTATCAAACTCTGTGGTGGCACTAAAAAAATTAGTTCGCAGAACGGAAATTTGACAGTTGATATTATTATCAGCGGCGTTACCTATAATCATCGCATCATGCAACATATCTGGCTCGCGTGCCAAGACAAGAATGTTCAGCCTAGAACATATGCCACAGGCTGGCTCAAAACATTGCTTAAGAAGGAGGCGCAACATAAGAGTCACGTTGAACATAGCGGAGGCTTGGAACTAATTGAAAAGTGTATAAAAAAGGGTCTAGCTGATGCCAACCCTGGTGTTCGCGAGAATATGAGATCGACCTATTGGACTTTTGCTCAGATATGGCCAGCAAGGGCTGAGTTGTGAGTATTCGAGTATTTCTACACGGTCTCAATGTGACTAACGGCTTTTAGAATAATTGAGGACCTAGAACCGACCCAGAGGAGATTATTAGAGAATTCTCCAGACAACCCCAATGCACCAAAGAAGGCAGCGGCAGTTAGCACTGCAAGGCCTGGCCTTGGTTTCTCTAAGAGCACTACTGGACCTCCTAGACCTTCTTTGAGGGAGACCATGTTAGCTCAGAAAAAGGCACAAATGGCCACCAAGACTGTACCTACTCGTCCTGGTTCTGCTATGTCGACATTTTCTCCAACAAGGACCGTTCCAACCGCATCGGGTAAACAGTCGTCTGCAGAAGTAGCTCCCACAAGACCACACCTAGAGGCTACTGGATCTCGTGGCGGTCTTTCGGTTGCACCCATGCGACCAAGTAAATCTAAGAGACCAGAGCTTGCTGCTAGACCTGCAACTGCCGGGCCATATTCTGTAAGAAGGACTAATCAAGCCTCCAGCGAAGCAAATGCCAGCCCTTCATCCTCCACATCCGCAAGGCCACCAAGATCTAAAACTCCTGTTGCTACCAGCTCTCCCCAGGCTAGAAGGGCTCCAATTCCGAGACCCAACACAAGCCATTCCAGTCATCCCACGCAATCTCATCACCCAACCCAATCTACTTACACAAGTCCTGCAGCAAAAAGTACATCTGGGCGAGTCGTAACTGCTTCTCCTAGACTTGCTGCTTCCCCTCACATCAGTAGTCCCGTTAGGACAAGAACCAAATCGGTACCTGGATTACCTGGTCCTGCATCTAGTCCTTCAAGAGCAGATGAAGATTTTACAATGGTTGTTCCCACAATTACAGGGTTAGAACGGATGAGATCTGAGAAACTCCCCCAGGTCTTTGACCCACCTGAGGTGGAAGATATTAAAGCTCCTGTCAATCAGCCGATGAAGGTTTATGAAGACCCATTCTCAAGCACAGATGACACTACTATTCCAGGACCTACAGTTCCTCAATCCGTTTTAGAAGAAGTGCCTGTCAACGAAGATGCCATGAACCTGTCAAGAAATGGCATTAGCGAATTTGATGGCGAAGGAGCCAAGAACCCACCAATGTCCCCGGATAAACTTAAACAAAGCACAAAATTACTCGATAGCGGTATCTCCAAGATCAGAGCCAAATCTCTAGACGTCCATGGTTTCCGAAAACTTCAAGCTATGATCAGAGATAACAAAGCCGTATGGGGAGAAGGCAGATTCCCCGCCCTCTTGTTAGGACTTTTTGAATATCTTGAAGAACCATTAACAAATCTCTCGCCCGCAAAAGTTCAGGATGTGAAAGCACAAATACTTGCTACAGTCAAACTCTTGTATAAGAATTACCGAGAGTATTTCAGACCACATATCGCAAAAGGCTTTCACTCTATCCTTGTAACTAGATCCTGCTATGATGCACGCGCCCATATTGTCAGTGGCCTCGAACTTCTCGCCGATGAGCTTGTTACACTTGCCAACCCTAAAGAGACCATCCCGACCATTCTCGACTCCCTCTCTAACGAAGAAATGACATTGGAAGGATGCCGAAAATTTGGTATGGGATTACATATACTCAAACAAACTTTAGATATCAAATCAGATGTTGAGTTGGAAGATGCGGAAATTGATAGTATCTTGGAATTGGCGGCGAAGTGTCTTGAAAGCAAGGAGAGCGGAGTGAGACTGGATGCTGTGGTACTCTGTGTGAGTACGCATGCAAGAATCGGAGAGGCAAGATTCTGGAGTGGAATTGGTGGAAGAGTGAGTGGTGATCCAAAGAGCTTGATCACGTACTACATTGTCAAGAGGCAGAGGGAGTTGGAGGTAGAAAACTAACGTTGTGGAGGGTGACATGGAACGAAGGTCAGTGGCATAAGCTAATGTTTCATTTGAGCGAACGAAGGGAATGATGAGTAAGATCGTTGTACAATACGAAAGTCTTTTGTTTTGAGTGGATATTTTTGGGATATTTTCTGGGTGGTGCGATGGATTCTATGGTATGCAGCGAGGGAAAATGGAAGGGCGATACAAGGCGTTGTGCAGTGCACGTTACATATCAACTTTCTGGTTATTGGCAGAGGCGTAAGAGTTTGAGTCGTAGTCATAGTCATAGTACATCTATATGTTATAATTTTGTCATTTGTGTGCGCTTCTATGCTAAGCTTTATTTGTGCATCTTGATTGATGATATGATTGATCCCATGACATTTTTGATGGTTGCAAATTGTATAATCGGTGCTATGCACTTATTGTTATATCACTGCTTGCATATAGAGACTCAGTATAGAGAATTCTTGTAACATATCGAATTAAAATCCACAGTTGACTGACTAATTGCAATTTACTTACCTGCGCATTCTAGAGTATAGAGTCTACAACCTCCAATTCGCTAGGCTGGGTTCTTTGATCTTCCAAATTCCAATTTCTAAGTCCCAATTTTTCAATGTTTCAAGAGCGCTGTACTCATGAAGTAAGTATGAGATAGACATAGGTTGGTGGAAGGTGTATTAGAGGGCAGGGTAGACACTCAGCCGGGAGTGGTTTTGTATACCTAGCGAGAGTTGAGATTCCGGATTTCGGGGTTCGGGGTTGTTTTGATGGGGGAAGAGTTAGGGGTTAAGATTATGTCTTGAGTTGATGGGGTTTGTAGGTTGGGGGTTGGGGGTTGGGGGTCGGGGTTGGGGTTAGGGGTTGGTTATATAGTTGTAGATAGATGTAGATGTGAATGTGAATGTGGATATAGATATACTCGAGTAGATATACTAAGCGATAGCTCAGGCATATAGAAGATAGGAGATGAAATGCGCAACCGAATGAATTGAAACAAGCTAATCCTTCCATCCATCAATCTAGAGTTGAGTGCTCAGCGTGGTGATAATTCATCCATTTATCCATCCCTTGTTCATCCATTTCACATACGCATCCAACCATCCATCCATCCATCCATCCATTCAAAACCGCACATTCAAATATAAGATACGATAGACGATACGACATACGGTGCAATATCCACGCAATCATCATTCCTCAAGTTACCTAACTAAATAACTAACTAGCCTTCATACATACACGCAGACACGCAAACATCCATCCGTAACGAACTGACCAACCAACCCCCACAACATCAATCCCACGCATAACAACCATTAAAATCACCTCACCACGCCTTACCACACACACCGCACTACATCGCAGGAGAAACATCAACCAACCCATGAATAAACCACGCTTTCAATCTAGTATCTTCCTTCCTGCGTAAGCTGCGAAGAACTCTCTATCTCGCAATCTACCGCCAAAGCCAATGCCAAAACTTCCCTCCCTGCAGTGACTTATTGTGTGAAATACATGATACCTACTAATCAACCTCCCCCGTCTCGTATGTCCTACCATACCCTCAATATGCATTCCTCAGACACGAAAGCCTATCAATTAGCTCGTTGAAGGAAAGGAAAGAGAGGTAGCAAGCAAGTACGTGGGTTTCCAGCCATTCAAATTTCAAATCAAATTAATCATCAATCAAAGAATACAGAAGCAAGCGAGGCACTTAAAAAAAACGCCGTAAAAATGTAAATTTCTCTCTCAATCATCTCTGTTACCGATCAAAAAATCGGTCTATCATTCATTCGCTTTCCAGAACTAACGCCCCACCCACCACCTTGCTAAACATGAGTGCAAAAAAGAATATACATCTCGGCGCTTTCTGCGTATCCGATGCTGAAAGCGAAACATAAGATAAAAAAAGCTAAAGGTTCCAATCATTCAGAAGTGTAAGGTCGTAGAAGATTCGTGGTAAGGTTATAAGCTTCTCTAAGCACCGGCAAATATGTCGTAACTGTTCTCAATGACGAATTGAACAGCTTGGTTCTTGGCGTGCATATCCGTCATCTCACGGTCTAAGCTGTGATCACGCATGATGGTCGGTGCAAAAACCACTGCCAAATTCTTAGGTGTCATCTGTAACAAATAATTAGTATATCAGAAGACCAATGTATACAAATGAACATACCAAGTTCTCGCTGTCTCGTTTTGCTACACGCACAAGATGGAAAATCAAAAACTCAAGACAATCACGATGCTTGGGAGGCAGCATGTTGACTGTGTTCCGTAGATGTGTGCAGCGTTCTGCGTTGTCTTCGATAGCTATAGTTACATTAGCAATTAACTTCTGTCAGAGTATGAGTTGGAACTTACAGATTGATTCTAACACTCGGTCATAAACATCGAAGGTCAAAAGTGGTACAGGAAGCTTTCGGAAATATTGTTTCAAAACACTTGTAACCGCGGTGATATCCAGGTCGGGATCCGAAATATCATAGTCTTCAGTCTTGTCGAACCCTTCCTTGATAATGTTGACCTGCCCAGTACCTCCAGTCTTCCGATAGATACCCTCAACGTCCATTCCACGCAATTCAACCTCTTCAATGCAGCGAGTGACCACACTTGGAATTTGCCGACGCTCATAATCAGCTCTTTCAACAAGATCAGAACCAAAAAGAGTTGAAGGACTTTCGGCGGCGAGAATGTTACCACTAGACATCGACTTTGGCATTGACTGGGATTTCTTGAATAATCCAAATCCTTGGCGAGAGGGATCGTTTGATGTAGACCTGGGTAAGCTTTGCCCAGAGGCATTTGGCGCTGGAGATTGCACGTGCTCCATAGTCATGTTGTAAGGCATACCGATATTATCACTAGTCTGACCTGGCCATTGGTTTAATGGCCGTTCTTGTCCGCTGGAGAAAGCACCCTTGAAACCTTTAGTGACTCCCTTGGCAACAGTTTGGCCACCCTTCTTCCAGTTGAACTTCTTTGCTTGCCCCTTGCGGATATTGACGACATGGGAAGCTGATAATAACGTCGCTGGCTCCATGCTGGGATCCTGTTCCATTGGGTGTGGATAGCTATTGATCGAATTATTGTAGGTAGCACTACTGCTTTCCGATGGGCGGAGGCTTGCATTATCTAGATGAACGGAAACGTTAGACTTATCCTTATGATGGTGAGTGTAGATTCCCAGACCGTTTGTTGATGGCCTTGGGCTTTCCATGTTGGTATTGGCCGATTTAAAGCGTTCCTGGATTTGGTGGGTAAGATCATTGTTCATGTCTGCAAGTTGTGCATTTTTAGACGATAATTGCTCAAACTCAACTAAAGCTCTATCACGATCGGCAATAGCTTGGTTCTTTTCTTCTAATAATTCATCTCGCTCCTCAAAGAGTTGTTCGATTGCGCCAGACATTGACTGTTTAAGGCGATCAAGCTTTTGAACAAATTCTTTGATGGCAGAATCTTCCAGTTCAGCAATGTCAAGTGGTTGTTTCGAACCTTTGGCACGCTCTACATAGCCAGCTAGAACCTCTAATTGGCGGATCATAAGTTCCGTTTGAGAATCTAGGACTGAGACAGTCTTTCGCTTTTCGATGAGTTTTTTGTTCAGTGTTTTCAAATCTTTCTCGTTTACGAACTGTCTCTCAAGTTCTGCAACTCTTTGTTCGGAGTTGCGAAGTTGTCTTCTCAGCAAAGCCGGATCATCTCCAGGATTTGGCGAGCTTATAGAAATCGGACTGCTAATATCTCTAGGTCCGCTAGTGTCTTCTATAATTGGTGTTTTTGGCCATCGTGGTGAGTTGGGAGTACGTGCGGTTGTTTCGCTGACGCTACGACCATGGCCACGGGCAGAAATGCTTGCTTCACTACTGGTGTTTCGAACATGACGTACAGCGTTGGAAACTCTGCGAATTATAGATTGTGAGCCTTCGTCGTTGCCAAATATCCTAGCCATATCTTCATCCATGGTAAGATCGCCGCCAGCACTCCACCTTGGTAGATTGGGCGATGAAGCGGTACCATTCGAGCCTGCCGATGGCGGCGCTGGGGGTGCTCTTGGGGTCATGTATGTATCACTGAGTTGTTGTTTTGATAGAGGAGGGCGAGTTGACGAGCGATTTGGGGGTGCCATGTCATCTATAGGCGATTGTAACAAGGGGCCAGAGATTGATTTGCCATTCACTGTCGGGGTATGAGCAGTTCCTTCGGGAGAGGATTCCGTGGATGGGGAGGTTTCTGTTCCGGAAGACAAGCTCATTGTACTAACGTGACTTTTCACTGGTCCTGAGGCTATCTCCTTACGGGGTATTGAGACTTTGGAACTTCCAGAATTGACTCTTGAAACAGTAGAATTTTCCATGTCTTTTGGTCGTGATTCTAGTGAAGATCTGGACGTAATCGGGTCTGCTGCCATTAGACTCCTTGGAGAGTCCATTTTTGGCATGTTGCTGTCTTTCCTCGTAGGTATGTTGGAAATGGCAGATTTCGAGGAGTTGCTCTCGCTGCCAGTATAATCCGATTGAGAATCGCTTCTCGTTCCAGCCCGTTTTCCCTTTGGAACGTCACCTAACCTGAACTTTTCACTAGATCCTTGTGTCTTTCCATCAGGGGCGTCAGCAGTTGGCGAGCTTGCATGTTGTAATAGAGTATCATCACTCGTAGATGAAGATGATTCTTTGGCAGGTGTGCCTGTGCCGTTTGCTGCTCTGCGTATGCTGTCCTTGATCTGCGCCAACTGCTCATCGGATGGTTGATTTTTATCTTGGAATGCGATGTGCGGTGTTGACGTTGAACTCGTGTCCCTCAAATCCCTTGATCGTCTCTGGGGCTGTGGTTCAGTTTGACTTCGCATATTGTCTTTCGCGCCGAAATAATCTCGATCCGGTGCTTGGTTCTCTTTCGCCTTCTTTGTGTCCCATGATGTCGACGTAGATCTTGGTGTCAAGGTTGGCGCAGGGCTTGGATCCAGAGCGAGAGGTATGAAAAAGCTCTCCCCATCCCCATTTCCAATCTCAGACATTTGCGATATCCCTGAATATCTATTGTTTCGATATGTCGTTGTTGGAAGTGTCAATCCATCCCTGCCTGTAGTATCGGTGGAGGCTCGATGAGAGGAAGTATCATCGCGAGGTTTTCGAGAACTACTCCTAGATGAAGAATCCGTACGAGAATATGTTGGCCGTGGCCTTGGTGATAATTCTGTAGGGTTGTCTGCATTGTGAGGATCCGAGATCTCACGTTCAGGGGAGAAGGCGCTTTGTGGAACGGCGTTCGGTGGTAGGGCGGGTAGTGATTTATCAACAAGCATGGGAGATTGATCGTCTTTTTTCTTCGCATTCGCAGCGGCCCTCGACTTTTTACGCCGCCTAGCCATTAGTGATTCATGACAACTCATACAAAATATTCCTTGAGATGTGCGAGCGTAACGAAGGTTTTCGATCTTGCGTTTGCAGTTCCTGCATCGAAAGCATGTTGCACAAAATGCTTGGTCACCGGTGAGGATTGCGAGGTCTTCGATTTTGTTATTGCAAGCACTGCAGCTGTAAGTGCAATTATTGCATATAAGAGACCCGTCACCCAGGAGTAACAAATTCGCATCGGAATCCAGGAGAGTTCCGCAAGTATTGCATCGGAAGCAATTCAAATGCCATCGATTGCCAGCTACAGGATCGTTAGAATTGTTAAATTTTGAGGTCGGAGGGTTCATTTGATTGATTTTCTCGGATATTCAATGTACAACTCGAGGCTCAAATCAAATCAAGCAACGTAAGGCATAGTAAAGAAATTGAAGAAGATCGTGGGATCGTTCACAACTTACCAAGTTCGAAGGCTTTTCCCTCCTCGAGGATCTGTGCAAAAAATTCACTTTTAGTGGCAGATTCGTAAACACATTATGGGTGCATGGGACGGGAACACTCACATCACCACATCCTTTACACGGATATGCCACATCGTCACCCTCCATAGGGGATTCCAGATATGTACTATTGTCTGGCGATTCCATCTTGCCAAATGTATGTGAGGAGCGAGCCTCGAAAGAAACCCTTTTAATATCCTTCTATTTCTGCAGATACACTTCCTCCTCGAGTATCACGGACGGTGGACCCAGGCTGAACATGAATTGACAGATGCGATCCCTCGACGTTAGGTTTGTCGGTTTCTAGAGTGTAAAAGCGCACGGTCTGTAGGAGATTCGAGAATTGTTTACGGAGGTACGCAAGTTCGCAAGGGGAAAAGAAGCTAGTGCGAATAGACGATCATCAAAGAAACGTCCCTGGAGCTTGATTCGCGAAGTTCGAGGGTCAATTGAGTTGGGTGGAGAAAATGAGTTGAAGGGTTGTTGGCTATGGGAGGGAGAGAGAACAGACAGAACACAGGTGAGGTGAGGTGAGAGAATAATTAGTAATAGCTAGTAGTGACGGGAAAAGATTGAGGGATGGATGAACTGTGTGTGATATCGATGTGAATTGTTGGAGAACGATATGAGATATATGTTGGATGGAATCATCCAAAATCAAATCAATCCACCCTTTGAAAATACTACTGATATCGATTGAATGTAGTTGCGATTCGAATCGATCCGATTTTTTGAGATTTGAGACTTCTTGTTCAGCCTGCTGTTAAATGTATTATCGATAAGTAGGTCAGTACCTGTACCTGTACCAATATAAACGTAATCTTGGTCCTTAGTACAGGAAGTAGAGAGATACTAAGTAAAGACGAAGGAGAAGACGAAGGGCTAGACTGGTAAAAGAAGGTTTATGCCAACCGGTGTATCTTTCTTGCTTCACCGTGGTCGCAGTGTGAATTTGGTTGGTGCATCCGTACACTCACTTATCAATGAGGAAGTGGTCTAGAAATTCCCTTAGGCTCAGATCAGATGAGACAAGAATGGTCAAGCGCTAGGTAGCTGTAGGTAGGCTCGAGGGAGGTAAGATTTGAGGAAATCGAGTAGAAGGAAAGGCTAATGATCCTTTAGCGACCAGCATATATTTCAAAGGGGGTCGGTCGATGGTGGTGGGCAGAGTATCTACTGGTGGCAGTTTTGCGCAGCACGTTGTTGGAATGAGAATTGGAAGTCGTGAGATGAGACAACTCCCACAAACTAATAAGCCTTTAGAACCCAAGATGGTGATAAATTATATAACATAAACATACGAGACCGCTCTGATTCCGAATATAGTGAATCAATTGATCATTTGGGCTGAATTGAGTACCAATTTGGTACGATACAAAGTAGAATATAGTGAGATATAAAGATTGACTTTTCTTTAGAAGTATCTTTCTTTTGAGGCGTAGATGTGAGATTGTTCCTTCGACTATCTACCCAAGTGAATTGCCCCAAAAAACGCCTCTCCTTACCGCCGGATTTATTCTTCAATTTATTCTTAGTTATTTTTCTCTCGGAAATCACTCTCCTGTTGTTCATCATGTTGTAGTTCAACAATACCGTGAACCGTTTATATGGGTAGCTACAAGAAGGATGACCATTCGAGATACCAAACACCCAGCATTTAATTACCGCTGCAGATTTGATCTGCAGGTATGGATGGAGAATATGTATCAGTTTTGTATTCGTTCTCCGGTAGGGATATTCATATTCTCCTTTCATGGCGTCAGGTACAGGAAGAATGGTCACAGTAAGGAATATCGATGTTCTTCTTTCTGCACATGGTGACTTTATATATTGACCCGAAGGAACGGGAAGATTGACTGGCTGTCGTCTGTACTCCTCACATTCCGTCAAATATATATAACTACTACAACTGATTTCTAGACATAATAATAAGGACCTCCCATTGTTCTCCAATGCCGGAAAGATAATGAATCTTCGGAACCCAGTCAATACATACAAATGACCCGGCATTTCAATGTTCCAACAGAGTTTGATCCGAGACCAGGAATAACCTTGGGTCGATGGAACCAAGAGAGTGTTTAGCCTACGAGATGCGATTATTCTTGCATGGTGGCACTTTTAAGGGTTTCAAATATAGACCCTCAACCAAGGAGATGTCGCGATGAACATAAGGACGGGTCACATCTTATTCGCTGATCGAAAGATGGCATATAGAGAAGATGAACGTGGCGATATGAACTTCCGCAACGCATCCTTTCATCTCGTGTTATTTATGCTGTAATCCATGGATTCTTTCAGTATATAATGATTTACCCATGCTGAAGACTGTTGTATCTGATGATCCCAAACAGATGGTGTAGACATATAAAGATGATAAGACGGAGTCCTTGGGTTCGATTGAGGATGTTGATATTATACTCGTGAAATTATAGATATACTCTGTACATACTAGGTAGTCACTCATTCGCCACCAATTCCCAAGCATCTTGAATAACATCGTGTTCTTCGTATTACAAGATTATCGTCATACAGTACCGCTGCCACTCAAGCCAGGATAAGAGTACTCTTTGCACATGATACTCCTTGTTACGTTCGTTCTATACTCCGCGAGACTTCTTTTTGGAAACTTCTTTTTGAAGACTCCCATAAGTAAATCTTAAACTTCTCAATATTGGAAAGGCTGGTCCGTCGAGAAGGATGCCAAAGGTCTAGCTAGTAGTCAAGAACCAGACTAAAGTATGTACCTCGACAATCCTCCTGTCGGTCGCCGGGAACAATGTTGATGATTTACCGCTTCTTCAATTACTAGATACACCACATCTCAAATAACGCTTGATTCTATTCAAACATGCGGCTACCCACATGTTCAGTTTGACAATTTCCCCTTGATTTCGAATCTTTATTTCGAACTCCTTGGACGAGGCTGAGTACATCATTTACGTAGCTGCTAGGTTGAAAATAGTTCATCGGAAGAATTAAACCCAAATTGCTCTTACGTCGACTTTCCTCTCCTGAATTATATAATTTATGCTCCATACCATTGTTCTGATCCGATAGGAACCAAATTATCAGCTGAGAAAGATAATTCGATCGCCAATTCCCAATTCGGCAATTCCGCCTATCTGTCCTGTCCTAAAACACTACATCGATGTTTCAGCGTCAATTTGATGATCCTCCTTAAAGAAACGCCTGGATTTGTTTCGACCGCGTTTTCCAACAAGAAATTCTTACCCATGGCCTGTTAATCACCCCAATCACATAGGCAGTTGCAGAAAATATGGGATCTAGGGATGATATACCATATCCTTTTTTCCTGAGTTCAGAGTTGACCCTGTCCGATTGAATTTCAAAGGGAGATTATTTGTGGAGAGCAAATCACAAGAATAGAACTACGTTCTAGACCCTTCATTCAGATCATTGTCCCTGTCGCTTACCAAAAGTTTCATGCCGGTCACCAGTGCCACGGCCTTTTCGTTGGTGGGAGAGCAGGGGAGTCGAAATGGTCACGTGAATAAACTTGACGACGTTCTTGTCGAATACAGAGCTGTGCCACACCGAGAGGGGGAAGAAACTGTTATGAGCTTGAATGTTATCCGTGGTTCATATCAAGCACAACGCGCTATATAGCAACCGTCCAACGAGTATCAGAACAAGCCCCCAACATGTCGCCAGCAATTCCCAACTTCCGCCTCAATGATACTCACCAACTTTTTTCAACCAACTGAAAGTCATCCGCATGAATCAACTCCAAGCTCAGCCCCTAATCTTATCGGCCCTGAAACTGATACCTACTCAGCATCTACAAACCCACTTTCTGGGTGTCACCTATCATCCTACATTGAACCAACGCCCAGCGTAACACAAACTATAATAAGGTTAAGCATAAAGATCAAACAGTCATCCAATCGTATTACAAATCACATAATATGCACAAAATTCCGCATAGTCTGACGCGCATATTCGTCCATCTCTCATCCCCCACTCACACGTCGCCATTCCCTCGGGTCCTTTTCAGCCCTGCCTAGATCATGCCTTGTTTCGTATTCAGAGCACTCGGTTGGGATTGATGTATTCTACGGCGGTATATTCAACTTTGGCGTGAGTGCAGATGTCCATTCGATGTTTAGTGAACAGACTATCAATTTGAATATTGCTGTGAGGTATAATCGATGACGTGATAGCCAAGTAGCTGTCTGATTAGCTGGAGGTTTCATTGGAATATTCTACAGTAGTTTCTTGGTAAGCAGTCAAGTGAAATCGTATGTTATTCTTGTGTGACTAGAACTGCTTTTTATATGTTGGGAGGTTTTACTTGCCTGAGGTAGATGGATTGTTCCCGCGTTCATGGAGAAATGATGATAATTGCCGTTGGGTTTGTGGATTTTCCTAGCATCTTGTTTGTTAGTCTGACTCTGGAGCACAATCACGATTACTTATCGTTGCAGAAAGGTCAGTGTCTTTTAATTCAGTAGGTGCGGTCGTTGCACATTAGGTTTCTCTGAATTTGTCTGATGAGGCCAAGAACACACCTGCGTTATGCATGAGTCAGTCTACCTATATAGCAAAGAGCATAATAACTTAGTAATTTATTTGTTTAGTCGTTCCGCACCTGTCTCTATCATTTGTTTTGTTCGCAGCGCCAGTGTCATAATTCGAGAGATGGCCTGCCTTGTGATTGTTTGTAGCCGAAAAGTTTTCGTCCCAATGAACCATCTCATAATGCATTCGGTGGGCGTGATGATCTCATTAGCAGTACTATCATCAACCTCTCCTTTCTTGTCGTAGCTCCTGTATCAAGGTGCTTGTCGGATTTTACCTCATTTAGATCATGAGAAAGGACACATGATATCGCTCAAGCTCCGGGAATTCCCGAGGTGCCATCTCCCTCTCAACTTTTTGATATTCTGAAGTGATACTGTTGGTTCCTGATGACGGGTTAAAATAAAGCTGACTCGAAGAAAACTTGAAAAATATAATAAAAGCAGGAACAGAAAATGAATCAGAGCGCTTGGAATGCGTTGGTGTTAACGAGACTTTGTCCAGTCTCTCGCTTAATATAATGGAGAACGGTACTTTAATGCTAGCTTCTCAATTGTAGATTTTGCGGACTACCACTTAGTTCCAAAATCCTGAATTACATCTCTTGAAGGCAGGTCTTGACTCATTCGGTTTCTCTTCATTTCACACTTCATTTCTTACTTTTTCGCTATCATTCTCGTCTTTAGAATTAAAGCCAGTAAACTATATATTTATCCGAATGGCTTGAAGTCTCTGAACTCTGGGTTTAGTTCCTGGATTCTGAACATCTCGTCCACTTTCTCCTTAGCTACCTTTGTGTACTTCGCTGTCATCTCCGCTGTGTCCTTGAGCCGCGTCTCACATATCATTACAGTCTTCTCACTCCAATGCTTTATTCTGAAACAATCCAATAAATCATTTTTTAGATCAGCTAGTGAAGCTCTGGCTTTTTCAATTCGATCACTCTCTGACTGTTGTTGAGGCGATGGTGAATCGTCCCGGATCTCAATAGGATTTTCCTTGCTTCCATTGGCGACACACATCCGCTTTGATGGTGACGGCATGTTTAAAACCATCTCACTTTGCGTCTTGGCAACTTCATAGGATTTGGATCCAGAAGTCGTTAGGAAGGCCTGCTGCTGCTCTATGTTAGCAAGAAGTTCTGCTGATCAAGTTTCAAAATAATAAAAGAAACAATGGTTACTGGGTGAAATATGCCGTTGGTTCCCGTGGGATTTGCCTGTGCTTGCGATTTCCGAGCAGCAGCAGCAGCAGCGGCAGCAGAACTAACAGTATTGGTACTGTCTCCTGCCGGACCGTCGTTGTACTCTTCGTAATTTCGCTTGCCATTAATCGCGAATCGGCTGTTCTTTATTCCGCTCAAAGTATCCCACTCCTGCAATGAAGCTAAAAGTTTAGAATGATTCGAGTAAAACGATAATTCATAACTCACATGCACTCTGGAAAGGAATTGTACTTCGTATACGAACTGGCTCGCTTGCATTCGCGGCAGCTCTCTCATATTTTTCCCTTTCTTCCATGGCACTAATTGACTCAGGCATATTGGCAACAAGATCACATACCAAACTGTAATCGACTTCACAAGGATGTTTTACCCGGAAAAAACTAACCCCCGATTCTGTTCTGACGAAACCTGCCTCTGCTAGCTTCTTAACTGTATATTTATCCAGCTCCTCAAGATCCAGTCTGAATGTCTCTGGGTTGATTTTGTGGTTGTAAATGATGTCTCGAACAATTTTTTCTTCCTCTTTTGACCAATGTGTGTATGTAAGGCGCTTTTTGACCTTTCGATTGATCTTTTGATTGACCCTCCGATTGAGCTCTTGATTAATCCCCTGACTGATCTCTTTATTCACCTCTTGGTTGTCCCTCTGATTAAGTTGTTGGTTAACCCCCTGATTGACCTCTTGATTGAGCTCCTGATTGACATTTTTGTCAACAATGTTATCGAGACTTGACGATCGAAGTGTCGGGACATCTTCCTCCTCCGCAAGTCTCTGCTTGTCTGCTTTCTCTACCTCTGCATCCTTGGTGAAAGCTGGTACCTTATTGACAGAAGTCTCATCAGGTGGCGCCATTTTACCAAAATTCGAAATCGTAGATTTGCTTTGTAATCGGAAGAAATAGGAGGATGAAGATTGAAGAGACGATAGAGTAACTTCAATGTGTACAAGGAAGCAGGTGACTAGGTGATTTGATCTTATTGGGAGTGGGTGTTGATGGATGAGATGATGCCGTTTGAAAGAAGTTCGTGCTACACAAGGCTTGTAGGAAGAGTCAATAAATTGAACTCGATATTTGAATCATGTAAATTTTGCAAACAAATACACTCAGCGCAGAACATGCGCAAAAGCGCATAAACAAAATCCGACACAGAATTTGGACGTCGGGTGGTTCAAAGGTTGCTGTTGACAAGTAGATAATAGGAAGATTTGCTCGCGAAAAAGAAAAGTACAGTATTTGACTCTTCTCGGTACCTCCCACTAGCGTGTCAAATCTTCTATCAAAACAGGTGGAATAAGTGATTCCCCGAAGTGATATCAAGTGAATAGATGGGTGGTGCATACAGAGGCGGTTAAAAGAGGTTTAGCTCTATGTGGGAATAAGTAGATAGTCGTGTCCTTCGACCTTCGGACGAGAAGAGGTGGCACCCCGGAGATTGTTACTGGATGCGGTTGAACTTAGAATGTCTAGCTAGGATGAGGGGTTTCTGATCATGACATTCACTTAATTCATTGAATCTCCTTTAAGTAGTGACTTGACAGGATGACATACTTCGTGAAAAATCATGTGTCAACCGTAGGCCAATGTATACATAAAACGGCGGAACTTTTGGGCCGGTGCTCTTGCATCAAGAAGCTTCATGATCATTCACTACACGTCAAGCCCTAAGATGATGCACCAAGACTTTTGTATATAATCGACTCGAAGGTAGATTCTATGTGGCTTTGAAGGTTGGAGAGTGCCTTGCGCTTTATGATTATGAACTCATTATTGTATGAATACTAACTGCATCTATCACTTGTCCTACATACAGTGTTTCTTTCTTAATCTGATTACAAAGAAGAAGAGCCCTTGCAGTTCAAAAACAGATTAATGCTAATGATATATGAATACCTTTTCTTGTCCTCTTCTCTACAAGCTTCCGATTTGATTGAGCCTAGTTCTCAATTGAGCCTCGACCTTGAGTTCCTCGTCAACTTTTTTCTCCGTTTCCTCCGCCGCCTCTCGCTCCATATCCGCCCTGGTTTGATGTCTAATTGTTTCCAACTCCAGTTGCTTTCGTCTATCGATTGATGCTGCAATTCTTTCCTCGATTCTGCGACGCTGAACAAGCACCATTTCTTGCATTTCTTTGAACCCAGCCGCGTCATCTGAACTCGGTGTGTATCTTTCATGTTGCTTGCGGGGCGCATAGGTGAACTGTTGATTTTGATAGGGGTATTCGATCTAACAAAGTCTGTGTCCCTCGTGTACAGTGTCGTGGGGTTTGGAAGTGGTGGTGAAGCAGAATACTTGCGAATATAATCCTAGTTTCATGTTAGCAATGATCAAACACAGCATATACTCATTCCCGCTCACTTTTTCGATACCTGATGGTAGCTGAGCACTCTTCCCATCATTATTGAATGCTATCTGAGAGGAACTTGACAGTCTGGGTTTCTTTGCGTCCGTCAAAACATCATCTGCTCGAGCAACAATCGACTCATCACTATCAGCGAAATCTACGTACAGTCTTCCAAATTGCTTCCGCTTGGAACTTCCATGGTCTAACGAATTTTTGGCTAGTTCCTTCTTCTGAGCGGACCTCTTATTCGCGAAATGGCTCTGAAAATCTGGTCAGAAACTAAAAACCTTTGGAACGTGTGGTGAGAACTCAATCATACCGAAATCTGGAAGACACTAATGCCATGATCCTTCGCAACTTTCTCCTTTTGTTCCGTGGATGGATTGAGTGATTCTGTGGCCAATTGACTTAGTGCGCTCATTTGACTTTTAGTAAGGACACTTCTTGAATTTTTAGTCTCCTTTAGTGCTCTATCATTGATTCGAGAAGAGGGCTCAGTAAATTTTGCACCGCGCGCTTCAAGTATCTAGAAGAATGTTAGAAATATTGGTGTAAATCACAATTCCACCCTGACCTTAACATCACCGGAAGTTCGCTCATCGTAGTTCCACAACTCGCTACCGGTGTAGCGCCAATAGTGTTGACAAGCTCGTGGGGTTCTGACATAACCTCTCACTTTGAGTATTGGGGCTACATGATTGAAAAGTTCCGCTGCCGTGGACTTTGGTAAGCCTCCTTGAGTTCTCAATTCCATGAAATTCTTGACTTCCTCGTAGAGGGTTCTCGATTCTTCTTCGCTCCATATAATTCTATTTGTCTTCTGATTCTTATCAATTATGTTATTGGGGCCTTTGTCAACTTCATCCTCATCTGTGATAAAGTCCCCAGCTTCATCAAAGTCAGAATCCCAACTCGAGCCATTTAACAACGTGTTGCCACGCAGCTTTGATTGATTGTCGCTCATTCGACGCCATTTACTGGCACAGGCAAAACTAGTTCTTTCTATGCCAAATCCTAGTCCATTGAGCTCGATAGATACTTCGTCGAATAGATTACCCTTGTGAATCTCGCCGCCTTCAATCCTTTTCCTGTGTTTCTTGATAAGCCGGGTTAGACAGTCTTCCTCTGGCGAGCTCCAGCTCCAACGCGCAGTTGTTTCTGCCAACGATTGTTCTGGATCGGCTTCCATCTTTATCGATGGTCTGGAAGGTTGAAAGTCAGTAAAGTCTTTCAGAAGCAAATTAAAACCGCTGAATGTAAGACAAGCAAAATGATAATACTTACAACGGTTGCATGATACAACGTGAACGGATTTCTTACTGCTAACGAAGACCGAAAGCTGTCGAGCTTTTACGAGAAAAGAGGTAGGAGATAATTCAGGTCAAAGTTGGAACGTAACTTTCCGAGCTAGCGATATTAAACTACTATCAGAAAAGCTGAAATTGTATGATACATTTCTGAAAGCTGAGATAAACAAAGCAAAGTGAACCAAACAGATCGATGTGCCTAATAAGTTTGCCCTCAGGATCAACTTGAAATCTGAAATGGCAGAACACTTGCTATCATTTTCAGATACCAATGCCCCGATCTCAAATCGCTTGGGTGTGAAGCAAATTTTCAATCAATGCTAGTGTATCTGAAGATTTGACTTAGCTAAGTTGCCAGAAAATCAATTTTCTTTTTTCTTTTTTTCGAGTTTTGATTTCTCACATACCCAGGAAATTGCCACAGACTCTCCTGGTACCAAACAGTGCAACTGAGCCTGCTTGAATGTAGCTGGTCAATATCTATCTGTCTTTATGCTTTCCGACGTGGCTCTGGAATGATTGTCAAAGTGCTATGAATTGCTAATACTTATTTTCATTGCCGAATGAATTCAGGGGGAAATGTTATCAGTATGTTGCGGTATTGATCTGATATTCACCAACATCTTGTGCTTACCCCGCATCTTTGGACTAGATTAATATCTAAGTCCTTCGTTATCAAATCGAAATCTTTGCAGTAATCATAAGCAGTAATACTGGCTTTCTCTTTTCTTCTCCCAAGAATATCAAGTGCTTGAACCTCCGCCACCTTAACCCGTCATTATGACCAGAAAACTCGGTCTCCAAGCTTTCCTTCGCAGAGAGGCTACGAAAGCTAAGCTTCAGGTCCCCACAGAAAATAGATCCCCAAGATTTACAAAGGAGGCTTCTATGCTATCAGCTCAGCCAAAAATATATGAAGAGCCAGAAAGAAACACTTTTCAGAACGTTTTTGGTGACAATGAAGAAGACTATGAAACCCCACTGGAAAGATTGAGAAATTCAGACACGCCATTTGCTGTTAGGTATGAGACGAAACCAAAGTCTGAACTGAGAATTCGGATCGAGGAACTTAGAAAGCAACTTCTAGCTGTCATTAATACTTCCTTCAAGAATCCGAGTGAGAGAGCTCTCGGTTCTAAAGAGCGCGATCGTCTTCTACGATCCATCGAGCGCTTAGAGGCTCGAGAAAAAAGAGAGAAAGACAATGCACTACGAGGTGTGTGTTTTGCCTAATATCCAACATTTTTTTGATACTGATTGACCGGGCAGCTACTGGAAACCTCCCCGAGCCCATCTGCGAATATGAGAAGAGACAACAACAAAAGGAATTAGAATTAGTAAAGAATGCCCTAGCGGGGAAAGAAGTAAGACTATTGTCATCCGTTCCTTGTTGCTTGTCATTATTCCACATGCACTGACCAATCCCTACTCCAGAAAGCCAAATCCCCAATTAAACGTCCCCTTCATCCACTCGACGACGATCCAGATGGCGAAACTCGAAAAATGTTGGGACTGCCATTGAGAAGACGCAAGCTCAAGAAAACGGGCAAATGGGCAGATGAGCTTCGTTATGTAGTTCCGGAGTTAAGGTATAAGGATTATGGAATTGAGACTTTGAAGAGAATTTTGTTGTGCGGGGCGGATGAGGAGCAAGAGAGATGGCTGGGAAAGTGGTTTAGTAGATTGGATGTGAATGTTACTACAGGTGGTCGAGTGAGAGGCTACGCAAAGAAGAGAGGCATGTGAGGAAAAGAGAATGGCTCAACCCTCTTATAAGGGTTAGCACGATTTAGAATATCTATCTCGGCGGTGCTTCAGAGGTTGCCGCGTTGGATTTTGCGGGCATATAGTAACACTTCGGTTACAAATCCGAAATGCAAGCTTCTACTCCATGAAATTCTATAGAATAATTCTCATATGCTATGTGAGCAATTGACTTTTCCAAGCGTTGCTCATTCATTCACCATCCAGTTCCACGCTCCAGTCTCCGATATACCGATCAGATGACATTTTACCAGTCAGATCAAATGGAAGCGAATGTGCTATGTCATTTGTAAATGAGGCCAGTAGAATGGCAAGCGTCTCTAGTTTTGCAGTTAAAAACAATACTGCAGCATCACTCGACACCCCCGAGACTAGAATTCTACCAAAAAAGAGAAAACCACCAGAATTCAAGTGTCGAGAAGTTTCCTCGAGAGTGCAGGGGATCTCTATATCTCAATAGCTGAAGAGTCTAATAGGAGTCGAGGAAATCGAGCAACGACCAACAAAGCCTCTAGAAGAGAAGCTAGCTGCGCAATTAAATGGAGGAGTTATTGGAGGGAAAAGAAAATACTCTGCGATCTCAAAAAAGCCTTAAGGCATACCATAGAATTCGTTCATTCTTGAATGTATATGACTAGAATATTTGGAAAAGCAAACAGATAAATTGACTCGCCTCTTCTTTCATCAATCTTGTACAGCTAGGGTTCAAAATATGTGAGAGACTGGACTAAATGAATGGATTAGGAGAGGGTATGATAGAAACATGTTCTGGCCAACAGTAGATACATCAAGAATAAACCTCCGTGGTTCCTTAAGGCAATGAATCTATGTATCGAGATAAAAGCATGATTCTTTTCATAAATACCTATCCGTCTACCTAGGATGTAGGACAAAATCGCGTGTGCATGTGACCTTCCAGTTTAGACCTACCAACACGCGCCTCGATTCGTTAAAAATAGATTTTACGCGATAACCCTGTTGCGGCACAGCAAGTTTGCTTACGCGCCTTCCAGCTTTTCCGTGTATTATCTTCAAATAGTTTGAGACATCATCGAACTTCAACGTTGAAGAATCGCCAGTTCGCGCGTGGGCAGCAACTTGAGCTTCTCATTGTTTTCTCTATCAACTGATCTTTCTTTACTATCGCAACTACCTCCCAATTTTCATCAAAACTCTAATTATAATTTTGTTTAGATCACTTGCTTACCAGAAGATTCTGCAATGGGAAAGTTTAAAAGATGGCAATCTGAGGAGATTGCCAAGCTGAAGGAAATTTGTAGTCGTCAGGAACATGTTGACACACGTGGAAAGAACAATCCATTCTGGGAGAGTGTCGCCGATGAAATGGAAGGATACGGATTCGATCGTCAAGCAAATGCCATTTATGTTAAATGGATGCGTCTGATTCAACCACCTAAAACGAAATCTTCGAAGAAAGGCCCATCTACTCCTTGGGACTCGAGTGACACTGAGGACGAAGAAAGAGACGAAGAGGAATTTGAATACTATTATGGAGAGACTGACACTAAAAGTGAACTTTTGTTCCAACTTGAGTCCGGAGAGGATGCTTCCAAACCTTGGGCGACAGGAAGCAATTGGTCAGATGAAGAGAGTGATATTGCATACCAATGCATCAAAAGTCAACGAGACAAAGAGAAAGAACTCAAATTGGAACCCATCACGGCGGATCAAATTTGGCATATTGTGGCAAAGGCTTTAGAACAACATCAGATCTACCGAAAAATTCAAAACATTTACCACTACTGGAAGAATAAGGGGAGAGAAAAGTACAACTTCGACGAAAGAACTCCAGATATGATTGAGAAATCATCGCGTGGCACAGTTCGAGTGCGTGGAGGGAAGTCTGCACAAAATTCTCCGGGGCACGCAGCGCGTCAAACTGAACCTAGGCATACAATTCCTCAATCCTCAACCGAAGAATATTTCCAGGTAATTATCTTTCAAGCTTTTGCAAACAACAGTCCAACGGTTGTTGACAATGTTGAATTAGCAGAATAACACGAGGGCTGAGACGGCTATGGGAGATGCACAAATCCAGGTTTCATCTTGGCAGCATGATCTTCTGATGATTCAGTTTAGAAAATACAATGGCCTAGACAACCCCGTGATGAATAAGTTGGAAGAGGATACAGGTTTGAGCAGAGAGCAGATCAAGGTACGAGCGCATTGATTAAGTCACTATTCGAGCTCATCGTCACTAATGGATGAAACTCAGTTGTGGTATAGAAATCAGAGAGCTATAGATGCGAAAGAAGCAGATGTTCAAAGAGAGGTCAAGCTACAGACCGAAAAAGAACTACCTACTCCCATTCTCGATGGACCAGAGTTTCAAAGTATGGAATTGAAGCGATATCGCGTGTCAGACATTGGTTATCATCTTCAAGAAGAGGAAACCCCAGCCAAAAGAGTTCGCCACAGCCTGGGCCCGGAGATTTTGGTAAATAATCATGGGGGAATTCTGGTAGACTCGAGATCTCAGGCAAGTTCAGAATTCTGTTTTTGACCATTCAATCGCTGCTTCTTTGAAAGTTTCTCTAATATAGAATCATCAGGACAAACCCGAGAGTTTTGGTCGCCGCTCAATTATACCAGAACCCAATGAACCTTCAGCGAATGACGTTACAATATCAACTATCGAAGTCCAACAACCTTTTCTCAAACCTATAACACAAAGAAACATTCCGGAGAGTACATCTGATGTGACCACCGTTATGAAAGCAAATCGGGAATTGGAACAGCAAAAGGTACACGCGGCTGAGGAGGAATACAAACAATTGGAACTCGCTATAGTTGCCCACAAGGAAAGAGCAGGTCTGGAGCTTAAGGCTGCAGATGTAAAAGAACGTGAGCTTACAGTCCAACGGGAAATTCGCGAGAAAGCCAAAAAGCGTATTGCGTTGATCGAAAGCTTCCTCGACGACTACTAAGTGTATTGTGCTGTAAGGAGGGCATTGTAATTTCTTTGTGCTGGGAAAAGTTTCATGTCTGATTCTTTCTTTGGTTGGGATTTCTCACTGCTCCGGATAGTTTCCTTGATAATACCGACTTTGACATATACCTATCTACTTATTTTCGATTCGTTCTACTAGTCTTGGGGATTTAAAGACCTTTTAAGGGCCACCGGGTATTTGGTTTGGTTGCTTTCTCTGGATAATCTTTAGATGTACATATAGAGTGATTTCAGCAAAGGAGAATACATCTATCTCATTCATAATCGTAATTCATCTTGCTAGTGCGCACTTCTGGATTCAGGTTCAAGGTCTAACAATGCTATAAAGAATTTATGTTAGTAAGACCAGCTCACTTAAGCGATCCATCCATGGTTCTATGCGTGTAGATTACTGTTTTGCCATTTTGATTTGTAAGATCCTTTGGGCTATTCAACTCTTGTGGACGGGCCTGAGGGGGAGAGAGGTTATGCTTCGGATAGTGTGGGGTCTCATCGGTTCACTGCTGAGTACTTGGTGAGACATGAGGGTTTATATTGATATAACAGTCAAATAAACGATAAAAAGCATCATTTGATTGACAAACTGAGAAAATGCTACGATTACAATCAATTAACTTTTGGGCTCAAAGTTCTGAACAGATACATTTTCAAACATTAGATGATACTAACAGTTACATACTCCCACACTCAGTATATCGGTCAAATCTATTCTTATGACTATTTATGTGCCAAAACTTGACGGTGCATTTTATCTAAACATCAAATCACACGCTAACAACAGTTAAGAAAGATGCGGAACTGTAATAAGAGCGTGCGCTAATGGCTGTATCAGACTAACAGATACTGTTAAGGCCTATGCCTATCCCAATCCATGATTCTCCTGTACATTCATAATTCAGAATCCCAATATCAAACTCGATCTGCAATCAAGAAGAAATCAGACGAGCCTGGGAGATGACTGGTTGGTTTCTACTTATGGAAGTATGAAAATTACGGCTCGGATGATCACTTCTATGATATCCCACTGCCAGTTCCAGATACGCTGCTGCAGTACTACCAAGTCATGCGTAGAGACCCCAGATACTTGGTTGCTATGCTCTTTGGCGAAGACAATGCAAAGGATTAATATATATTTCAATCTACGACGAAACTCGTGTAATAGTGAATACAAAGTGTGATAAATCAAAGATGAGAAGCGAACACATGTCCCAACAGTTTTGAACAATTCAACGTACTGAAAAAATCAAGGTTGCTGAAGAAAATTCCTTACATTGGAGAAATTCTCACTCTACCATTCGCTAAGGCTCATACAGCTTTTCGCGTTGCTGAGAAGTTCGGAATTCACCTGTCGCGTCACCCATTACGGTCCATACGGTTCATTCGATGTGCCTTCGCGACGGAACTTTGAAGAATGCACTTTGATATTCTGTCGCATTTTCTCCTACGGTCCATATGGCTCACAATCTACCTCAATCGAGAACGAACTTGAGAGCGCTAACTCGGTATTTGCTACAGTCTGTACTGACCATACGATTCTTTAGGCACGATGTCCATAGTGAACATAGACTCGGGAACACTAGCGCGTTTCTCACTACGGCTTGTCCCGCTCATAGATTTTTTTTCGTCGCGATGAACGTACTGAATATAGACTCAAGAGCACTAGCGTGTTTTTTCACGGCAGTCTGTACTGTAAATACTGTTTTTCTCGTTGCTAGGCGAGGTTGCAAGACAGATTTAACCATCCTTCTCGCACCGCTCCGAAAGAACTATTTTCCTCTCGCAACATACAACATTACACAACAACTCAATCTCCAGAGACAGTCGGGTTGAATTCCCTCCTTCTTTACTCAATACATTCTCTGCCTCTACGGTTTACTACATCGCTAGGCGAACTCTTGAGAATTACTTAAGGGTTCTGGATTTCTTCCTACTTTCAACACCTTACAACAACATCCACCATAACCACCTCCTCTCCAGACCTGATTCAACATGGAACAGCATAGCGGCACCAATTCCTTCGGAAAACGCAACAATGATGATCCACCAAGAAGAGAAGAATATATGTTGAGGCCACAAAGAGAAGCGTGGGAAGCTTCTCAAGCCTCGAGAAGAGACTCACACGCATACCCTTCAAGACAATTTCGAAAACCACAGGGAAGAAAAGTGGATCGCTATAGACCAAACTATGGACCAAATAATACATTTTCTCCTCGAGTTCCACGTCGCAATTATGCGGCTCGACAACCTTCGCGTCTCGATCCTGGTACGCGTGAGACCACCACTCAGAGGTCTGAGAATACACGCTTCGACACCGCGAGAACTTCGCTTAGCAGCGCTGCAGGATCTGCAGATACATCGCAGGAGTTCGAGTCAGCCCCAATGATCTCACATCCTGTAGAGGCCGCACCTCCCGCAGAGAGAGAAGCCCCTCGATCAAGAGCCGAGGATGAGCACGAGCTCCTTTCCGAACATGCGGGAGGCCCAATTCGCCGCTTCACCAAGCACATGTGTGACGTTATCACCGAATCGATCACAGAAAGTTCCGACGATGAGTACTTGAGCGCGATAGAGATTCTCAACAGAGCGTGCGTAGACGTTGGAATAAAAACCGGTACAGCTCTCGGAGTGCACGACTGTTGGATGTACTGGCGCAAGAAGGTTATGCAGAGTAACATTGCTCTACTGTGGCCTGAGAGTATAGATGATGTCGACGAGGAGGTACGAAAGTATAGGCAATTCAAAAATACCAAGTCCGATAGCACTAGAGCAGCATATGTAGCTAGATTGGCTACAACGCCAGTCATCGCTGAGAGCTCTGCGACAGCTGAGACTACCGAGACTGTTGCGGCACCAGAACCAGCTAGAGCTCCTACGTATTGGACTCGAGAAGAGCAGAATTTCCTCTTTAATTTAGTGAAAGAGCGTCAAAATCAGCAATCTCCTATGGGAGCCACAACTTTCTGGATATCAATTGGGTTAGCAATGAGGAAAAGGGGACATACCAAGAAATTTGCGGAATATCGCGAATGGTTTGAGAAGCATGGCCACACGCACCTCAACCACGACGAAACTGTTCACATTTCGCGACCTCGCCATCGTCGTGCCGGTGCTGGTGGAATGCGAGTTGGGGTTTTGACACCGGAAGACTCTCCAGTCGACGATACTCGCAGGAGAGGAAGAGGAGGTTCGCGGCTGAATAGCGGTGGGATGAGATCTCGTGTTTCCCTGGCGCAAAGATCGCCCAGGATTCCCAAGACGCCCAGACCCCTCAAGCCACGGATGGCAAGTGTGGTGCTACACGACGCGAAAAGTCTGGCGAGAGGCTATAGAAACCAAGACAGGACGGCAAAAACAGCTGAAAAGTACCCTCTACAATTGATCACGCCATCTACTGGCGAGCGTTTTGGACCTTTCACTACCGAGCCGCGGAGAGCCTATGATCCTCCTCCATCCCCAGCCGCCAGCCCGCCCGGAAGTTCTTTGTTCGAAACCGGAGATGAGCCACAGATCGAGCGAGATCTCGTGCCATCAGATCAGAACTCGACCACTTCTCGCTTGTCCCCTACACCTGCATTGACAGATGATCAATCCGTGATGCCAGATGAGACCACTACGCCTGAGGGAGCAGTGGAATCGGGTGAGACATTGACGTCAGATGAAGGAACATATTCAGGAGAGCCAACGACGCCAGATGAAAGAATCGGTTCCGGAGAGACAATGCCAAAAGAGGTCAATGATACACCATCACTCCAACCAAACGAAACAGAGGATGCAGAAGATGATGTACGATGGACAGGCGACCTGTGGGACTTCGCCACTCCGCCCACAATGCGACCAAGCGGAGCAGATGAGATGGCACAAATCGATAACCAAATCGAATTCGACTCGAGCCACATCTCAGCAAGCACAGATTCAAGCGATGCTTCCACATTCATAGCACCTCCCACCTTCGATGATTCCCTGACATCAAACGAGACAATCAAAGAGATCCCCTTGACTCAGCCAGTCTCGACGAATGATATCGAGTCCGGAAATAACGATAGCTCGGAAACAGAGGCGCAATTGTTACGAGAACAGCAGGAGAGGACTAATCTCGAAATCGCTAACTTGCGAGCGAATTATCTGAGAGTTCAGGAAGCAAGAGAGGATGACAGGAAGAAGCTTGATGATACGGCGCAAGAACTAGACGTCATAGTCCTGAGGAGAGCCGAGCAGCTGGAGAGCCAGACTGCTCATCTAGCCGAGATGCAAAGAATCGAGGCGGAACTCGAGGAAAAGATAAAGGCCAAACAGGATTTGAGTAATGCTCTTGAAGAACTGGAGTTTTATGGATAGGCTGGAGAGTATGGGGCTTCCAATTGTCCAGGTTAAGTCCGATGATCAGACGAAGTACTAGGTGAATTGTAGGACTAGGAGAGTGAAGTACATAGCATATCGTATCGCAGCGTTAATGATAATTTGTCAATATAAAATGCAAATCCCAGTGAAGAAATGACCTCAATCTCTGTTTATTTCAAGACACTAACTAAATGTGCCTTTGAGAAAGTGCCATGATGCAAAAACGCTTGTTGGGAGCACCGGCCAGAACGCCATAATTCTAGATAAATCTTTCGTCCATTCCTCTGTGATAACTTCATGGGTATCATAAGCTTTCCAGCCTTCCCTGAGCAGCTCGCTGCTGCGTTTCTTAATATTCACCATTACATCCATTCAAATTTCTTCCTTCGACTCCCCCGATTTTTTTTTCACTTCACTCAAATACCACCGACATTTCAATTACCAACAACTCTCTTGACCTTTTCCAACAGAACCTGACTCTCCCTTCCTAATTTTCTTTGCCCATTCTTTCCTCCACTTCTAGCCTTTGCCATCTGCCGCCTGAATCTCTCCCTTTCCTCAATTTTAGCCTTCTTCTCCCTCTCCCTCCTCTCAAACTCTTCTCTTCGAGCCTGTTGTTCTGCCTTTTGCTTCTCAGCAAATGCTAATTCTTTTGCAAAATATGCCGGCTTTGCTCCTCTCTTTTCACCTCTTTCCCTCTTCTTATCCTTCGCATCTTCAGAATTATTCGAGTAACGTGGAACGATTTTGGTGCCAGTATCGGCTTCAGGTTCATCAAGCATAGCTTTTCTCTGGGGATGGAGCTCCGCTGGTTCTTCTCCTTCAACAGCGTCCTCTCCTTCCTCTTCTTTTGCTACCTCATCCTCCTTATCCTCAGCGTCGGCATATATTTTCCTTTCATCCTTCATCAAAGGTTCTCTCGCCTTTAGTTTCGCATACGACTTCTTGACTTTCGCCTTGTGAATCAAATCCTTCTTAATGGCAATGACCTTTCGACGCCAAGTTCCATCAGGCAAATTGTCGGGACCAACTTTGAAGCCGTGGCGAGGTTTTTTAGTAGTTGAGCGTGATGAATTATCTTCTTCGCGGGGGCGCTTGGTAGGAGCCATTTGAGGAATTTGTTGAGTGGAAAAGCGTTTGTGAAATTGTGATACTGGGATGAAGAATATGAGAATCGAGGATGTAATGTGATACCTTGGTGGAATGAATGAATTGAACTGGAAGGGTCTTGTGAGAAAATTTTAGTGGATACTTATTACACATGCTCGATATGCAGAAATTTACTAGATTCACACCTGACCACAGTCGGCCATCACACCAATTGAATACGAGTTTGCATAATATAATTGATATAATTGATAGATACCACTCTTTCATCTGTAGGGTACCCCGGTACTCAAAAGCGATAACGTAGAATAGTGGAATTTTAATGCATCCGCGGTAATCGTAAGGTTATCGGTTTTGGGAGAGCAGAGTCATCATACAGCAAGCATATACCGGTCTGTACATACGAGGACCTCTTGATTTTCTTTCCTCTCTTCCATTTCTCGTCTTCTTTATTATCTACATCTCTTACTCTCATATATATATATACATATGTGCATTCATATCGAACTATTGAATTGCATTCTCATTCCTGAATTTATTGAACGAGCATAGTCAATTGCCATCAAATATCAGATCATTATCTCATCCTTTCATACCTCGTACAAGTCCTGCATACGATACGACATCACATCGGCAGAGACAAAGGATTAAGGAACCACCACTTGTCCCCCGCCTCGTCACAACATCATCCCTCCAAATCCACATTATTACAACATATAAAAGCTCTCTTCCACCCTAAAGTCTCCAAAAATTACCTTGAGATGTTCTTATAACCAGACGAAAAGGAGCAAATTCAAAAGGCTCCATTCACACATCCATTTATCATGCCCATATTTCAAGATGACCTCGCTGACGGCCGAGAGATATTGCCCATTCAAAAATCAAAAATGTCATCCGTTTCAATGTCACCGCCGGAAAGAAGAACGATCACGAGGAAAGATAGTGAAGAAAGCATTAGAACGGAATTATGTGAAGGTCCTGTACCAGATACCCCCGAGGGATCAAAGACTCTACCGACTTTAGGTTTGGATACAAACTTCAAGAACTCATACAGCGGAATATCGGATAGAGGGGATCTTATTGAAAGGTTGAAAAGGGGCGAAAGTTCCAGTTGGTTCCCGAATTTAAATGTGTGTGAATCATTGCACTTCAATGCATGTGATTTTATATTGACAGTGAATACAGTTAAAGTCCCTACTTCATGGCCAAAGTCCAGAAACTCCCAGTCGAAAGACCTCAAGTCATTCGAATTCATCTTCCCTATTACCATCTCCCGAAATATCTAATACGACCAGGCCCTCGTCAGTAGACAAACCTAGTTTACAAGCTGGTCTAGAGATTGAACGACCAAGGTCCGCATTACACAGTGGAAATTTCACCGAAGGTCCTCAACAAACTATATCTGATAGTCCTGCGCAGGATATGAAGAGATTTGGCACAGTAAATTTACCATGGCTAGCTACATCTCCACCGCGAAATTTTACTCCCTTTCAACTCGATCCTCGGTTCCCATCAGTGGATAAAGCTGAAGCAGAGTTAAGAACAAGAACTCGTGCACCATCGCTATCTTCTTCATACTCTTCGAACTTTGTGTTGAAAGCACCAACAAGCCCTTTAGTACAATCAGAAAGTAACGACGACTTAGATTATACGTCAAATTTAAATCCAATAGACATTTCTCCCGGGACACCTAAAACTAACTCAAGACGTCATACTTTACAGGCTTCACATTCAATATATTCAAACAGTTTTATACCAGGATCAACCGCCTTTAACAAACCTTTACCGAGTCTTAGGAGAGACAATACATATCCTTACCAAGCTCATCAACCTCGGAGATCTCTTGCCTCTAGCATAACGCCCCACTCGACGTCTTCTCCGCAAACACCGATTTTCTCGCGGTCAAGGAGACCTTCGTTTTCAGATTTATCACCTCTGCATGCTTCGATGGTGGGATCATATGAAGAGAGTATTCTTCGGGGACGAATGTCTACTACACCTTCGAAACCACTCGATTTTGTTGCTCAAATAGGGGTGCTAGGGTTCGGAAAGTGCAAACCAAGTCTCAAATGTCCACCTCATGTGACCTTATCATTTCCGGCAGTATTTTATGCATATGAATCCACAAGTCATGGTCGGAGAGGGAAATCTGATGACGGGCCTAGTCCATATGTTGGCTGTATTGATTTAGAAAATGGATTGCCGAGCCCCGAGAAGGGAAAGGATAATCAAAAGAGGAGGAGAAATGCTACGCTTGACAGAATACATATGGATGATCTCGACACCAACCCATCAAATTCAGGACAAGCATCAGAACGAGAGATCCGTAGAGCAGGGAAACAAAAACGTCGGTCCACTTCTCCACGAGCACCCCCAGGTGGTAGCTATCGCATCCCCGAAAAAGGGCAGTTGCAAATCATCATAAAGAATCCTAACAAAACAGCTGTCAAATTGTTTCTCGTCCCTTATGATCTCACCGGAATGGAACCTGGCACCAAAACGTTTATCCGTCAACGGAGCTACTCTGCTGGACCTATTCTTGATTCGGCACTCTCATCTTCGCCTCATCGATCCGCACCCATTATTGATCCACTCGCCGAGAGACCTACCCTCCGCTATCTCGTTCATATCCATATTTGCTCACCAGCTCGAGGTCGCTATTATCTTTACAAAAGCATACGAGTCGTCTTTGCCAATCGTGTTCCAGATGGTAAAGAAAAGCTTCACAACGAAATCACATTTCCAGAACCGAAATTCACTACTTATAAAGCAATTCGCGATTCGAGTTTCGGAGGTGCAGGTGCGGCATTGGCGGCGGAAAAAGCATTTCGGAGGAGAAGTTCTGGATTTCCTTTGAGTAGAAATAGGAATTTCGATTTTGGAGGTGATGACAATGCATCAGATAGGGGTGTGGTGAATCCTATTCCTTTTCAATTCCCTGCGAAGAGGGGTATGATGGATGGAGATGGTGATATCGGACCATTGGATTTGGGAGCAAGTGAATCATTGAATTCGGAGTATTATTCAAGACCGGGTACGGCGTTTGCAGGGGTAGAAATGGATGGTATGAGGAGTGGGCTAGGGACAGGATTATATGAGAAATTGAAGAAAGGCGATTTGGGTTATGGCAGTGATGGATTCTCGCCAACGAGAGTCAACACTCCCGATATAGATGGGAGACAATCTCCCGCCGAAGGATTATTGGCAACAAGATTGAGGGAATTAGGTGTAGGGCTCTCGATGAAGATACCTGGAAATGAGAGAGAAGAAGCGGTCCTTGAATGCGAGGAGCTAGAGGGAGATTCATAGGCATTATTAGAATTTGTGAATATCGTGATTACATTAGTTGGAGTATTAACTAGCTGGATTAGTCTAGGGCTGGCTTTTTGGGATCTTGATATGTAGCAATTTGTTATTGTATCGTATCGCACTGCATCGCAAGGCATGGCATCGCATCGCGTGGGTATAGGAATCGTTTGGCGCAGTGTGGTTTTCTCGCATGAAATAATTAGGAATTTGGGGATCTTGTAATAGGATTGGCTTTTATAGATGGAGGTGGGATGGGATTGGAGCTGAATATACTATTAGTGCTACTTTAGAAATATTGGAATTTATGTGGTGATTTGTTGGTGGATAGTTTGGTGTATGGATGTATGAATGTAGGTGTGTATTTTGGATAGTATAGTAATACAGAATTGAAAAATTGGAAAATTGAGTAATTGAATAATTGAATAATTGAATGATCAAATGAGTTTAGGAGATATTTTGAGGAGATGCCTACTGAGATTGAGATTTATTTGTTTATATGGATATGGGGTGAGTAGGTAGACAGATAAATTGATGTTTTGATATTCTCAAGATTTATGGGCTTGGAGGTTTGATGTTTTGTACGATAGTTCTACTCGAGTAGTAGATGCTGCAAGAAAGGTGTTGGAGATTTGTGATAGGTGGGTTGATAAGTAGGTAGGAAGGTAGGTGGGTAAAGGTTTATGTAGATGCTCCAATTTTTTGAGAGGGTGGGAAGGGGAAGGGAAGGGGAAGGGAAATGGAGAGGGATAGGGGGTAGTTCCTTGTGTGTATATGTTTGTATATTTTGATCAGTTGACTTGGATTTAGATGATAGAGATGGTAGGGACGAGAGATGAGAGATGATTTTTTGAGGTTTTAGGGATTTCTTGGATTCCTTGGATTCTAGGGATGAGATCTCCGCGGGGGGGGGAGTTTTAGGGATTAAAGTTTATGTTTTGGGGGTTGAGGAATGTGCAGATGTTGGATGTTGAAGGTTGGGGATTTGGATATAGAAGAAGCTAAGGAGTTGATCAAGGACTGGAGTGGGATAATCTGGAGGAGGGTGCATGTGTACCTAGGTAAGAGTTACAGGTGTAAGAGTGAGTTTGGAGTGAGTGAGAGTGGGAGAGACGTAGATGAATCGATGGAACACTTTACTCACAAGAGGTCTTGAGGTTGTCATTTTTGCTGGTATTATCCGAGTCATTCTCGATTTTGATGTAGGAATATGGTTATATGGTTATATAGTTATTAAACACCAAAGTCTGTACAAGATAGAGATAGAATTTCGACACCTTCCTCTCATCTCATTTATTATTCATTCATCTATCACCTCTTCGATGAAGAGATACATAGAGATATGCATATGCATATGCACATAAATACATACAAAATAAATTCAAATAGCGAGTTTAATATATGAGAACATATTTAACTATGTCTACATGTATAAGACAAGAAGAAGAGGAGATATTCATTTCTGTGGTGGAGAGATAAATATAGATAGATATGGATCCGAATCGCAAGTTCAGAACGGCTATGCGAAAGAAATGTGTTTAATTTGTGTGCGTATTTAAATTCAAAATATGAACAGATGCTATAGATGATAACATGATATAAATGGAACATATCTGTGCCGTGTGCATCTTTGGGTTGAGGTTCTGAAGATGAAGGGGTAGAGGACTATGAATATACATCCGCCTTGACACACAACACAGACATCCAGAATTCCAGAAAGATTAACCACATCACATAAATGTTTCCCCATAATAATCCACAAAATCAATCAATCAACAGAAAGTAATTTTGTAGGTTGACGGAATATCTAGAGATAGGTATTCATCCTGCATCTGTTCATTTACGAGCTGTAAAGTATAATTCTCGTCTCCAATTAATGGGGAATGTTATAAAGTATATAATTAGTCGAGGGAATGAAATTAGAAGACAAGATTATTCCATGGTTCACACTCTTCTGTCAAAGGTTATTTTTGATGTTCGAGGATAAGGAGAAGGGACAAGCTCTGCTGAGAGAGTCTAACCGCCGTTGCTAATTCGATTGATGGAAGTTTATCATACTAAAGTAAGATTGACGAGGAAAGGATATTGAAAAGCTAATTAGCTCGACATATTGGAAAAGCATGCTAGTTTTAAAAACTACATAATGCCTATTTCGCAACAGCAAAGCAAAGACTGGTAATATAATCAATATCGATGATGTGCAAACATGATCAGTAATCAGCTTATGAAACCTAAAGTTCCGTAGATGAAAGTAAATCTGACCAGCAATTTTGACACCAGAAATCTGGGCTAAGATCTAGATTTTGGCAATCCACTCATTACCGCTCAGTTCGTCTACTAACCAAAGGACTAGCACTCGCTTGTTATACGTTCATACTAATACCTAATACTGGTACTGAATCGCAATTATTACTTACTCGCACGTTCTACTTAGGTACATAAAGCCCATGTGTATAAAAGGGGTGTTGTACATATGAAAGTCAGTACATATGACAGCTTACACAGATAAAAAGTATGACAACACAATACGAGAAAACTCTGCCACTCAGAGAGTTTCAAAAGTTTGAGAGAGAAAAACAAAATCTGAATCATGACGACGATAAGAAGGGCAGAAATGAAGAATTTAATTTGAGTAGGAGGCGGTGAAGGGTGAATGCATTGACCTTGAATCTTCCTTGCGATCTTTTGTTTCAAAATGATACCGGACTCTTAATTGTGGACGAGACTAGAACTCATACCTACCTACCTATACCTTTGTAGTAATCCGTCTGATGTTTTCTGCGGCTTGTTGAGGCGTCATATCGAACTTGTGTGTCTTGGGTGTATTTTAATCTTTCAGCAGGTGTGTTAGGATACTTCGTACGTAGGATGTAAGTTACATATACAATCCCATGTATCGTATGAATCCTTGATTTTATATCTTGTAGAAGTACAGAATCATATTCAAGTGATGAAGCTGAGATTGAGTTTGGTTCATATGGCACCTAAAAATTACTCCGATTGTTGTTCTCCAATATTAAATGAAATTTTGTCGATCTTTGGGGAAGCACCACATGGATTTTGGTAACCTGACATACCATTCCTTTCCGAGGATCCTCAAATGTACTGTACGTACCTGCTCTAGTACACTTGGTTCAGAATGGACGATGAGAATAAATGAAGAGAAAAACAATCTCGGTTGAGCCGAGGGTAAGGTATGGCAAGGTAAGAAAAAGCAAAGAAAAAGCAATGATCAAGACTCAGGAGTCTGTATAGCTGAAAGGATTGAATGTTTGTACAGAATAAAAAGCCTTCCGATCCCCTACAATATGCTCATAGAGAAACCATCATTGAGCTTTGGTGGCTAGCGTACGGTCCATCGATAAGTCTTTCTGTCCGGTGACGGTTGAATGGTATTTGAAATAAAAAATAAATGATCAAAATAGTCAGAATATTCTACCAAATTAGGTACATACTTAGCAATGCCGGTACATCTCGTCGTGGGTTAGGTCCAACTTCCAGAAAAGTTTGCTGATGTTTTTGATTCATACCCAGGTGTCAAAAGGTCTGAGGACGGTCAAAGCAAATGAACCGTGGACATCTTTTTAAAGATCTAAGAGGCTGAACAGGATGTCCCTTGTGGCGTAGATGGAGGCTGTTCGAAGGCCAACTATATTCCTTATTACATCGTATTATTTGACGATGCCATGTCTGTTGTCTAGGTATTTGCGGCTTGATCTTGACAAAACCTGTGGGACAGATAGTGAAGAAGAAGTGATGCATGGCATGGCCATGAAAGCTTGACGGCTGACATCTTCCGACGGATGAACGTCGGATCACCATGTAGGCATTGGCGCAGCCGTTTTTATCGTCGCGGGCTACACTGATGATACAAGGAAGAAGGGAAATGTAACCAACAGCTGAAGGACTCGTCATCCTTGGAGGACGAAGAGGAGGGAAAGATGCCCACACCCTCACACTTCTCCTTGATTCGACCGTACGTCACTGTGCAAGAGTATCAATAGCTGAAGTCCTTCTGGTATCATCCTTTCTGCATACCTACCTACCTGATGTGCAGTTTGTGTATGCACCTTGGCGAAAGAAGAGAAGAAAATAGATATGGATGGCATAACCTCAACTCCCCACAAAATGTAAGATGTTAAGTAAATCTCGGAAGGATGGTTATGATCCCAGGATATTGTAAAGATTAATTCCGAATCGAATCTTTTTCGGTCTGGGTATTCCAATTCGGATAGTTTTCTGGTTCTCCTATGTTGTTTGACTCGTTCTTGTTACTATGCATGCAATACTGCCGTGTCTTCATCGAATGTACGTAGAATCATTGAAAGTCGAGAGTCAGGGTCCAACCGCCCTAGAAATTTAGCTTGACGAAAGTCCTCAAGTCAGAATGAATTACTCAAGGGAAAGGATAATTCAAATTTACTTGACTGGACTAAATCGAATCACCATGAGTAGGTAGTTAGAGTTTAGAACTGACCAAAATACTTGTTTTTTTTTTTTTTTTTTTTGATGCGAAGACGTGAAAAACGTGATTTGAATGTGGAGGACGATATGTTTGAGAGTTTCAAAACTTGATGATCATCCGTAATCGACTTGGTGAATTCTCTCTCGAGATCTGTGAACCAATGATCTACCGACCAGATACAATGTTAGGAAAAAGGCCATGAAGAGTAATAGAGTTTCTTAGGCTGAGTATGTGCAATGTGCCCAAGTGGAAGAGAGTGACTGGTAAAGTATCATGCAAAGTCAATCAATATATTCGCAAAGAATTGGCTGTTGTGCTTCTTGTAACCGCGTTGGAAAGGTCGTTTGCTGCAAACCCTTGGAGAGCTGCACTCGCTTCTTAGCTGCGAGATGAAACTGGCCACTCGTTGCCCTTGCATCCATGTTAACCAGGGACAGGAAAAAGATCCGGGCTCGACTAGGGTTGAGATTATTTTTGACCATGGCGCGAACAATTCAATTGGGTGGGAAGGAGTATGTTAAAACTGGTAACTACTGGTATGGATACAAATTAATATTTGCGTCAACATACCATAGACCTCTTTCGAGACTCTACACCTGCGATGGCCCTTTGTTTTGGCAAGTGAGAATTCTTGGAGGAAGATATGATGAGGAAGGTATAACGTAGTTTAACACCGAGTAGACCATATCACCAAGTGGGCCATTATTTTTACATATAAAATTTGTCTATATGTAATCATACATTTTCTTTATTTATAAATAGAATTTTCTAAAAATTGAAATTACAAAATTTAACTATATAAATAATATGGAAATCTAATTATTTATTGAAAATTCAAATTATTATAATAGTTATTATAGAAATATTTCTTTTGTAATGAAAATCGTAATAATTTCCACTTTCTTTTAGAAAATATAAGAAATTTTTATATCAAAACTAGATTTA